TCTGCAAGGGACGAGACGGATGACAATAAACCACTCACCATTGCAGAAAGGTATTTTAAATATTTTTAAACTTTTATTATGATATTTACAACTGTATTAGTATAAATACATCAAGTAAATTGGCACAGAGAAATATTATTACATGAAACACGCTTGTTGAGAAACTACCCACTGGTAGCACTCTAATTTTAAATATAATTTCGACTTTTATGAAGTAAGAAATAAATAATATTTAATAAATCTGAAATATAGTAATTATTTCATTAATTTTTTGTCATAATAATTCTATTTTTATTATACTCTAGTAAATCATCATAAATGCTTGATTTATTACATCCTTAAGTATTACAAGTATCATTTCCATTTTTTAATGTAAAAAATTTTATGAAATTTATTGATGCCAATTCTAAAAATATTTTCTTTGATAACCTCAATTTACAATTATTTTTTTTGTATAAATATTCTTTATTACAAAACAATTTTTGGAATTTTGTCTTGTTTCACTTTGTTTTTATTAATTTTAATATTTTAGACATTCTACTAATTAGAAAAATCCCACTGTATTCTTGCATATGTAGGGGGATTTTTAATTAAAAAGTTTGATTTAAATAAAAATATAATAATAATTTATGTCTTTGTACTCTAATGTGACTTTAAAATCATAAAATGGACCTTCTGTCAAAAATTTCTCAATATTACCATTTTATTTGGGACTATAATCACAAAAATGTGATAGCTCTAGGTTTGGTGTGTGTGATATGTTTAAGGTTTCTTTCAAAAATTATTTTTTTGTCAAACTATCTATTCTGGTGGACAATATGTAGTTTTCTCTTTCCCATTCACTATCTCTTGCATAACATTTAATTTTCATTCTATTATTTTCTGTCTTCTTTTGTCATGTTTGCTCTAAACTTTTCTTTATAAAACATAAAATTAGATAGTCTATTGAACATGGTTAACATGCATGTATGGGGGAGAGCTTATGTCTATAGCTTTCTGATATCATGCAATGTTTGGAACCACTTTTTTTTATTATTTTGTTTCTTAGTACCTGACTCATCTTTTATGAGGAAACTGAAAATTAGTGCGCTTGAATGAAAATCTTCATAGCAATTACATAACATTTTCTCCTTTATATTTTTTTACCTACAGCCTATAATACATTTTTTAGTAATTTTTAAAACTACTTTCAAAATTAATCTCTCCATTTTATTTTTTATCTTATAATTTTATCATAAAATTCTCATTTTTAATACTAGTTTATTTTGATTTGATTTTTTATTCCCTCCTTCCCCTCCTCTCCCCCCTACCCAAAAAAAAAGAAAATATGTTCATTATATTAACATACTTACTTTAGTTTTAATACTTTTGAAGTTATTAGTTCATTTACATCAATTATTTGAAAATTATGACCTTACGGATGTTTAAGAGAACAACCATAGTTTCTCTATCTTTTTGTCAGTGGAAATTATCTGTTTATTTTTTATTTTCGAACTTTCATAATTTTAACACATATATCTGTTTATTCATCTCATGGCTTACTAATCATTTACTTAATTCGTTGGGTAATTTTTATAATACTTCAGGGATTGTTTTGAATTATGTAAAGCAGATAAGTTTTTAAAAATGTATTTATTTTATTTTTTTGTATTATGAAGAACAGATTCAAAAGTTGTTTTATAATTTAGATACCATACTTGATGTTTGTCTTATACTTTTTGAAATCTAATTTTAAAAAAATGATGACCTTACGAAAGTTAAAGAGAACAACCATAGTTTCTCTATCTTTTTGTCAGTGTAAATTATCTGTTCATTTTTTATTTTGGAATTTTCATAATTTTAACACATATATCTGTTTATTCATCTCATGGCTTACTAATCATTTACTTAATTCATTGGGTAATTTTTATAATACTTCAGGGATTGTTTAGAATTATGTCAAACAGATAACTAAGTTTTTAAAAATGTATTTAATTTTTTTTTTGTATTATGAAGAACAGATGCAAAAGTTGTTTCATAATTTAGATACCGTACTTGATATTTGTCTTATACTTTTTAAAATCTAATTTAAAAAAAAAAAAAATACTTCGCTATGAACTCTATAGAATTGGTGCTAACATAAATCTCCATATTTTTTTTTAATTGCTTTAATTGCAAAAAGTTACCTTTTTGAAATTGGTATTTTCAATTTTTTTGTAAAAAAAAAAATAAATACTGTAATAGTCACCTAATTGTTTTGCCGTATTAAATATTTCATTTACATTGAATTTTTCTGACTGCATAACATATAATATACTGTTTGTTCTAGGTTAGCTGCATTGAAGAAAAATGGACACAGCAACTGGATGAAGAGAATTGCCAGAACAAGCCCAGAAGAGGAATTGTTATCGACCAAACCGCCTCTTGTAAGTTTGCCTTTATTTATTATGTTAGATTAATGTCTTTTCAGTTATGGTTAGTTTAAACAAGAGTATATCTGTTTGTTTAAACATGTCAGTGTGAACAAACAACCTACAAGCTATAAAGAAGATTAGAAGGCATTTGTGGTGAGAGAATAAGAGGCATTATTTCTCTAGGAGACTAATTTATTCTCTGTAATCATAGATGCATTAATTGGAGCACAATCACTTTATAATGTGATTAAAATATCTTTATCCATTGAATCTGTAATTATCTTCTTTTTTTTCTTTTTTTATTGTTTCCTTAAGATTTTAGGCAAAATCCTATTTTGTAATTAGCTATTTAAACTTTTAAATAATTCAATATATATATATATATATATATATATATATATATATATATATATATATATATAAATTGGATTTATACCACTTACTTCTTCAATGATTTCTGGAAATTTTATGTAATAGTTTCAGTTTTAATATTTATCAGATTTAAATACAAACAAAATTCATCAGACATTTTTATTTTCCTATAATTTCAAATATATATATCATAAGGTAAACAAATTAAATCTTGATCGTCATGGGCCAAATTATCCTATTATAATACAATTATCCTATTTACTGCATACAAATATAATATGAGTAAATGTATATACAATATCAAGAAGTTATTCTACAATACCAAGAATATAGTCTAAGTGGTGATCAAGAGTAATATGAAATAGGTTGTTGTTTTTTCTGTTAGCTTCACAGGCTTTGTAAGGCTTCTTGAACCAGTCTTATCCACCTCTGCCTGATGTGAGCTATTGTTTTCCTGTTTGCAGCATGAAATTTTGCACTATCTTTGTCGATTCTATCTGTGCATCTGGTGTTTAACTTCCTGTATTTGGTCTCTTAGCAGCTTTTGAGGTATTAATTGTTACGTGGAGGCTTTCAGATGAATTTCTTTAATCTCCATGTCCTAGCCATCTTCACCTCATTGCCTTCATGTCATGACCAATTCATTAACCAGTTTTTGTGAGCAGTTAGTTATTGGTTCTTCTCCTCCATTTTCTATTATACTGATCACATATCCTCTCAGTTATTGTAAGGAAGATTTTCCTCTCATATCTTTCAATATTTATTTCTAGGCTGCTGATTAATGTTCAGGTATTGCAACTGGATATCAGAACTGGTTTTATCATAGCATTGTACACACACCGTTAATTTGAGATTCCATACCTTTGAATGAGATAAGAAAATTCAGTTCGTGCTTGTTATATGCTGATCTATTTTCATTGAAATTCTTGTAGATCCAAGGCATTTGAATTTGTCTACTTTAGGAAAGATCTTTAATCACTGATCCTGTTGTTGGGATGGCATTTTCATCTTATTTTAATATATTTTCTTTTATCTTCATTTACTTGTAGGCCACTTAGCTCTACTTGTATTATCAGAGCCTTAACAATTCTCTGTTCCTGATGTCCTGTTGAATGCTTCCAAGGACAGTTATCGCATCTCCATACCCGAGGATTTTATAATTCATTTCAACTTTGCACCCCTCCATTTTTACATGATATTCTTTTCATCTTTCCAGTATTAAGTTAAAACAACATTAATTGCTTGTATCAGAGCTCATTATTTAGAAGTATTCCTTCAAATCTTTGTCAATCTCACCAAACTCCTAGAAACTCTGAGCCCATTCATGATCTTCCCAAACACATAAAACATTGGTGTGGGTACTATTTATTAAATGTTTTGACTGCTGCCAAAACTATCTCCTTAATAACCATGTGGTTAATCACCAATGCTTAATATTAATACATATTTCTTTTAAATTAAAATTCGGGAGTTCTGTTCTTTAATATAAAAAAGAACAAATATCATAATAAAAATTATTTAAAAATAATATGAAATATTTCTATACTAGTTGGCAATTTTTGTTTTCAATGTATAAAATAGAAATGAGTAACTATACATTAATCTGTAGCAAAAATAACTGATAACTCGTTTTATAATAAATTTCAGTTGAACTTTTTATTATTATTATATAATATTTAATTGATAAATGATACCTGTAAGAATTTCTAATTCCATTTCAATTATTTTAAGTATTGTTGAAACATCTGTTATAACTTTTTCTCAATGCTTTACTTTATGTTTCATGTTAAATGTTAGGTTATAATTATTGTTGCTACTGTTGCCTTTTCTGGCAAACACTTCGTATTTTTTTTTTTTTATAGATTATTGCAAGATAACTGTTTCTCTTTTAAAGATTAAGAAAAGAAATATATAGATTTTAATACTCTGAAGGCAATTGTTGATGTTAATGTTTTTGTTTGGACAAAGATGATATCACTTGTGAAGAGTTGTTCAGATTAGATAAATGTCTTGTGAATTTATCAGTTATGCTTTGATACTTAATTGATGTTGGCAATTTTACTAATCATGAATTTGCTTTTCTTATAGTTTCTCTCCTCAATTAAGTTACAAGTTTTGGCAGTGTTTCGTTATTTATTTAAGGAATTTTATATTTAGCTCAGTGGACCTGCGTAAATATTCACTCAGAATCCATCTGTTTATATTGCAATCACCAGTGAAAAAATCTGCTGAAGGATGGGGTTTTGTATTATGTGGAAAGTATTAGTTGGTGTTTCTTGTTTATTTTTCGTTGTATTTGCTCCATTTTGGCTCACCGCATGCCTCGTTATAACGTCCATTACGCAGTTGATTTCGAGCTCTGGGCAATCCAATAATGGATCACAACGTCAGAATGATACTCCTCAAGAATGTGAGGAGTTCAGGGACATTGATGATGTGAAAAAGGCCAAGGTTTGTTATTACAAAAAAAAAATAATAATAATAATACCTAACTTATATTTCCCCTCTTGTTTCACTAAAACATAATAGACATTTTTTTGAAGACTATACTTTCATAAAATTCCTATTTATAACTTTTTTAAAGTATTATTTTTCATTACTATATATTTATATTAGTATATATTTTTATTAATTATTGAAGAGTTGATGAACCTATTGTTGATATTATGTTAAGAATAACACTATATTCTTCATTTATTTCAATATAATAGTTAAGGTATATCAAAAAATATTTATTTTATCAATAGTCCTGTTTTTATATTTAATTAGTTATTTTTTTAGATTTATTTTTAAGCATTGGAGGAAATCAGAAACAATGATTATTTTGAATCAAAAGTTGAAATTTTCCAGTTTTCCTATTCAAGTACTTTAAATACCAAACAATTATTATATGTCACAGGAAACAGATTTATCCATAAACAAAGGCTGGGTTTGAGTTGAAATCCTATATCATTAGTCATAATATTCTTTCCTAAGTATTTTTATTTAATATAACTTTCATCATTTGTTGAAATATTTAAATCTAAATAATGAAAATTGTTCATATTTTCTTTAATATAAATTTGTATAGACAATTTTTATTAATTACTTCCTGAAAAAAATAAGTAAGGTTTGAGTGTCTTTCAAAAAGTAATTAACATTGATTTAAAAATTTGATGGTAAACATAACAAGTTGATTTTAATACCTTGATTTTAATTCTCTAATACTCAATTTTATGGGAAAAATATTTATTCTTTATCTTAGATTCATTTGTATGATTACATTAAGACGGATTTATATTTATGTTTTTGGTACAGAGTGGAAGCTCTAGATTCAGCGAGAAGCTGGGTCAGCTGGAGGTAGCCGCTGAGGGCTGGAAGGCCCGTGTGACCGCTCCTGATTCGCACCAATTCTCAGTCGCTGGGAAGATGGGGACAGTCAGCACTCCTCAGCCTGCCCTTGGTGGAGCCAATCGCACCCCGGCTCCACAAGTCTTCACCCAGTCCCCAGCTTCCATGTCTACCCCTTCTGTACCTGACAGTCTAGCAGCTCTGATGAAGAGGAGCATATCGGTACCGGAAGGTAAGCTTTGTTGTTATTCGTGTATCTGCTTTTATCGGTTGAACTGTTATTTACAGGTCTGCTCTTAACATCAATAATAAAAAAAAAGAATAAAATAATAATTTATTTTACTAATCAAAATAATAAATCCTTTGTGTTGTATTCTAGTCTTTGTGTTAATTAAAGATAATGCTCATCTTCTTATTTTTAAATTTTAAAAACTCCAAGACTTATAAATGCAAGTCATCCATTATTTATTGCCCATAATATGTGGTTTGAGGCTGTTCTAAGGAACTAAGAAGAATAAACTAAGTACTTTTTTGGGTATTGGCCTTTTTTAAAAACTGACCTCTCTATGATCAGCTTATAATAAAGAATTTAAAATATTTTACATTGTGGGAAGGGTGGAAATTATTTTGATGAGTTAATACATTTTTATTTTCTATCGTCTATTTATTATTTTAATTATATTACCCACCAAATTCTGACTCTACCTGGTATTCATTTTATTTGTATATTTCTAACCAAATGTCATTACTTATAGGGAAAGAAAATGAGCCAGCTGGAGATGCACCGATAGTGCAGGTACCAGAACCCTACGATGAGGATTTCTCTTCATTCTTCCTCAGCCCAAATCTCGAGAGGTTGGCTTCATCAGGTGATGTCGATTCCTTTGATCTTGAACATATCTCCTCAAGTACCTCACACTTGTAAGTGGCTGAATTACTGAAGTCTAAGGTTATCTTTTAAGGAAGTGTAGTAGTATCAATTTATGTATACATTTTGTTCTTTGATACAATTAAGTAGCTATGTTTTGGGTCTCACAGTACATTTAAGATCTATTATCAGTTTTTAATATATATATATATAGGAAGTACACAAGTCTGTAAATATTAATTAAAATAATTGATATGTATTGATAAATATTATAGCATATTTATAATAACAGTTCATCTGAAGACTATGTTTATTTAAAGTGTGATCAAATTGATCATCTCTAATTAGATTTCTGTTTCTCAATTTCATTTCATTTCAAGTGGGTATTGTTAGCTTTTATTCATTATAATTATATTTTTAATGAGACTTTACTTTTTTATTGTTTACAGATCTGTAGTAAAAAGAAATGTCCGGATCACAAGAAAGCACCGATCTACAAATCCTCTAAAAGCCCTTGCCCAGCGCTCTGACCTCAGGACAGAATACGTTGAGGTCAAATCAGGAGTTGCAGACCGTGAAATCCGACGGATGAACATTGAGAAATGTAAACTAATTATATAGATTGCCTATTCTTCGGGTGGTTTCTTCTTTTATTTTAATGTTGCTTCATCTCTGTTCCTTTCTTCTGTTGGCATTAGTTGTTATGTATGCTTTACTCCCTAATATTTCATTTTATGATTATAATCTTTTAATGTTATCTGTATTCAAATACTAATTGGTCAATTTTTTCTGTGTCTTCCATGAACTCTGTACATGTACATTTTATTGTGACATGTAACAAAGTATTAAATTAAGCATGGAAATCTATTCAAATTTCCAAAGTGCAATTCATCAAAGTTAATATAATTTAACATTTAAAAAACAAATTTAATGCACCTTCTTCTTTTGCCTAAAAAAAATATAGATCTTTCAGAGCATGTCACAAACTATAAGTTTTGTATATATGTTCTTTTTTTGTAAATATATATAAAGCATGTTTTTATACATATGTGTATTTAGTATGACATATAAAGAAAATTTTTATCCAGTTTTACTTTCTTTTCTTTTTAATTTTCCTTATTTTCTCTAAAATAATTAAATTAGCCTTTCAGAATACATAAATTATTAGTTATGAATTTCAAATTAATTTTCAGGAAAGACTACAACAATTGTATAATCTTACCCAAAAAGTAAATTAAAAAATGGTGTGAATATTCAAAATTGAAGGGTGTGGGCAAACAATCAGTCTATGACAAGATTCCTCAAAGTTTTATTAACTGTGGCCCCCTTTCAGATTTGTTTCATCCTGTGGTCCCCTGTCTTTAACAGTGAAAAGGTAGCTGTTTAAACATTTTACTTATAAATATAATAATTATGTTTTATTGCAATAAAACAGTATAATATTATTAATTGTAAAAATCTTTCTGAAAAATTTTCATGGTCAATAAGGTATTTGTTAATGAAAAAGATGCTTCATGTCTGGTTCTGTTTTTTAAGTTAAAACAAAAATTTCCTCCACTACGTCTTTATCAAGATAATTCTAAGTGTTTCTGATTAAACAACTCATCTGGCTGATTATTAATATTGAAATATTAAAGCAAATCAATTTTGGAGATGTATATAGTTCTCTGTTGAAACTATAAGGATGAAAAATTATCAGGATGTCCAGTCAATAATCATTTTGAGTACATTCTTGGTTTCCTAAAAATGTTTTAAAATAGAAAAGAAATTTTATGAAAGAAGATTTAATGAAATTAAAAACCAATTACGATTTCACTCTTTCTTCTACAAATGTTGGCTTAGCTCAGTAGCTCCTGTTTGAATATACTTCTTTTTGTTTCCTTTTTACTTTCTTGTTTTCACTAGTGTCCTCAACATTCTTGATACCTGTGCTTCCTTTGTGATGCTGCAAGCTCTGTTGGCCAGTCCTAGGTTAAAACCCTATTGTCAATCAAAAATTTATTTAATTGACTCATCTAACTTGATAAGAAATGTTAGCGATTAATTTATTTAGATGTTCTGATATTATATAAAACCATTATCTTAACCTATAAGTTACATTAAAATCGGTTTTTAATCAACTTGGATTTTTTGATCATTTCATTTCTCTGGTTTACTTATCACTGTTCAGTTTTGTTAATTCTATTAGAGTTATTGGTTGAACCAATCTGATTGGGAACCAGAGCTCAATAATAGTAAATTTGCGTTTATTTTGAGTTGTTCAGATTTTCTAAAACTAACAATGTATTAATGCAACAGTTTTATGTAAATGTTAGATTATTAATTAGGGATCTAGCAGGAGATAAGTATAATTGGTTATTCTCTTTTGTATTTATTTATGGTATTTTAGTAGGAACATTTTAAGAGGATAGTTTTAAAATCATAATACTCATTTCCCTTAATATAATAGGTAAATACATAGACCATTGTTGAGCCACACCCTTCAATCCATAGCTGAAAGTATTGAATTTATTAACTACCTGAAAAACTCTTCATTAATTATTTTCATTATACAATAAATTGCTTGCTGATAATAAAAAAATGGTATGCTGAATGTAATGGTTGATGGATCCTGAGCTACTCCTTTTTGTGTAAATTTGTTGCATATTATTTGTTGATTGCATGCATTGTCATTTCCAGCTAACCTTGCTTGTGAGCTTGTTAATCTTTAAGACAAATAACTGGACCTGACATATTGTTTATATTGATAAGATTTATTTGGTCGCTAAACTGTGCTGAACCCATATCTCATTTAATTATAGATTGTAAATTCATATTAATTTATTAATAACTTATTATTTATTCTCTCGGACAGATTGATACCTTCTTTCTAGGACAAAAGATTAATTATGATTCAATAAACTCATTTATACTCTTTAAAAAAAATTCACAAATGATTAATTTTAGACATGTGATAAAATTATCAGTCGCCATATTAACAATTTTTCGAGCACCAGCTTGTTTTAAATCTCTAAATGATATTTTCATCTCCGTTCTGAAAATAACTTGTGGTTAAATTGGTTAACGTATACAGTTCCAGTTATTTGACTTTCACTTGGCTTTTTGGTTACCATTTTTTTCTTTTCTTAAATATATGATTGATCTTATTGTTTATTCCTTTTTATGTTTTTGTCAGCACTTTAATGTTATGTTGTTTAATTTTTATTTACTGTGGTATTTAAATATTTAGTCATCGGATATCGTGTATATTATTTAATATTGATTAATAAAACAAATTGTGATTTGTATTATATTCAAATTATCATTTTTTTTATTATATTTCAATTTTAAAATACTATATTCTTTTTTCATTTTTTTTTTTTTTTTTTTTTTACGATGTGAATGAAAACTTTATTATTGTATTATTCTGTGGATTAAAAATTAGCAGTAATCGATAATAAACTTATTTATAGGTTCTGTGGCAATATTTAAGCCACAGAGCTAATGAGAGGTTTTCCTTCTAATTGAAAAAATAAATAAATTACTGCAAAACATCAATTATGAGATTAATATGCTGTTTTTCTAAAACATCTCTAAGACAATATAATAAACTTTGCTTTCACTGTTTTATTTATTTAGTATATTTATTATAGAATTAGATAATTTTTTATTTTATGTTTTATAAAGTATTATGTTTATTTATTGATATTGGCCTATTTCATCTCATTATTTTACCCATAATAAGCATTATATTAACAGTAGTTGAAACTCATTTTATTTTCTTTAAAATAAATTTTAAGTTTTATTTTTATGCCCATATTGGTTGTCACTTCCAATTCGGCAATAAGCTGATTTGATTTTTAATAATTATTTTAGTGACAATATCAGTACTAGTGTTTTCAAATTTCTCTTTTATGTATATATATATATAATTAAAAAATATAAATTATAGGGTATATAATTATAACTATATTGACTGACAGAATTTTATGATAAATCTGTAGAAACAATTTTTTTAAATCAGAAATATCAGGTTTATCCTGACGATTCTTCCTACTTATGAATTAAGATAAAACTTTCATAACCATAATTAATTTTTATATTAATTCCATCTAAAGTACTGTGTGGTTGATTTTTAAGAAATACATAAGTTCTCATTCAACAGTTCTTAATTTTTGTTTTTAACAGATGTTAACTGATAAATTAAGTAGATAAGAAAATTAAAGACCATATGTTATTTAAAAATGATGGTGCTTAAAGTAAAATTTTAAATCTACCCTCTCCTCTCATTGGCAATATATAATTAGCCTATTTTTGTATTCAGTGGTGTTATGTTTGGTAAAACATTTTTCTCTTCTTTTAATTTTCAATTAGAATTTTTTCGGATATGGGGCTTTTGAGCTGTATTTTGTCTGTTGTGCGGGATACATTGAACAAGATAGTTAAGCCAGCTGTTCTATTATCACTAGTCTTCTAAAGTTTGCTTTTAGCACTTCACTAAATTATTGCACCTCTAGTAACATTAATAATTAGTTGTAACTGTAAATCTAAAAAAATGAAATTAGGTCTGTGAAACATACCTATTTTCAAAGTACATATCTGTTTAGTAATAGTAATGAGTTATTTTGTTTTTAATCTTTTCTTACAATTGTTTTTAAAATCTTATATATACTAGAAATTTTTCACCCTATTATCTGTGAAGCTTATTTCATAATTGATTTTTTTTTAAATCACTACTGATCATTGTGAAAGTACAGACAAAACAGGAAATTCATGAGCAAAAATTTATCAAACCGCACAGAAAGTCGGCAGGAAGGATTGGCTGCAGTTGAGAACTACATACATCTTATGATAAGGAGTTGATCGGGGGGGGGTGCGGTCAAATAAATACTAAATTATACAAATAGTATTATTTGTATATTTTTGTATTAAATAATACTATTTGTATAATTAAGTATTTATTTGACCGTACCTCCCCCCCTCTCCTTCTCATTTAATATCACGGTCAACCATCTCTACATCATTATACATATATCTTAGTACTTATTTGTTGGAAAAAAAAAATCACCTATTTTTTTTTTATTTTTCTTAATTAAATTGATCTCAATGTCCCCGAGAATGAAATAGTTCTATGATACTTAATTTTAAATCTTTGATTATTAACTAAATATACTTATCTAAACTTGATATTTTTCTATGATCAAAAGCTTCTATGATACTTAATTTTACATCTTTGATTATTAACTAAATATACTTATCTAAACTTGACATTTTTCTATGATCAAAAGGTAAGTGCTATGGAAATGTGACAATATCCAATAAAACCGATGAAATAAAGCATGTGTAGTTCAACATCTCTTGTATGAGACAAATAGGGTCTTTTGGATTAATATAATAGTAGTTAATATGATAAGCTACATCATTAGTTTAAGTACTAAATTATGCAATTCTTTTAATATTTTCAATGATAAGCGGCAGCCCTGCTAATCTGGAGTTGATTGGTCTCGATCAAATGGAATATGCTACAAACTGTTAGTGATAGTCTTTTGGCAATTCTTTTTTTTTCTTCATTGTATACGGAACTTGTTATTTTAACATTCCTATTTCCAATACTGCGTAATAGAAGTTTTGACCTACTAACGAATATAGGGTTGATAAAACAAAGCATTATTTTAATTAAAACTCAAAATACATTACTGTTTAGGCATACTTATATGAAACTATTTTGTGTTACCTGATAAAATAGCATAAATTTATACCGCATCTTAAATCAAATTCTTCAATTTATTTTCCTACTTATCACTAGCACTATTAAATTTTCAGTGTATCAAATAATAATTAGTTTTTTTTTTTTAAATTTCGTACAAATAAGTGGGACTCTGCTGTTCTTGGTTTGGGAGGTAAGCTAACCTTATTCAAGATCATCAAAGAGAACATATTAACTTGTTTAGTTAAATGGATATAACAATCAAAATAAGAAATATACTACAGAAACAAAAAAATATTATAAAGTTGAGTAAAACTTCAGTGTCATCAGCTATAATTTATTTTATGCTAATGAACTGTAGAACAGAGGAAGTCGAGATAAGTTGTTTTCACTTTTAAAAAAGTCTATGCTCCCTCAAATTCTTGATTTAGGCTTAGAGTGGTTCCATGTTTTTTCAAGTAGTTACTTATTTATCTTCTTGGTCCAACAAAGCTAATAGCTATACCACAGGAAGATCATAAATGTGAAACACACAAATAAATGATATAAAAATGAAGGAGAGAATCAAACTTCATTATGTAAAACTTAAGTTATTAATTTTGAATCCAAATGTTCTCATATTATTTTTAAGATGCTCCATACAAAGAAATGTTTAATTTTAAGAAAATATTAGATCAATGGATCATTATTGGAGTGATAAGGAGAGAGAGAAAAAAAGTGTTTGAAATTCATTTTCCTCAAAACTGGATAGAGATAACTTTGATACGGAATAAAATTGTATGTATAGCTTTATAAAACAAATCCATAAAAAAAATTACTAGAAGCAAATGTAGTAAGATAAATTAAAATATCCTATCATCCTTTGATTGAGGTCAATTCGTATGAAGTAGATGGTTGCTTAAACATTTTCAATTTGTTTACATATTTTGTATGGAGCTAGTTTGTATGTTTCTAGATTTAATTTTTAGATTTGTAAAATTTTCTTCAGTTCTATGGGCCAATTTTAATAAATGAAAGTGGTTTCTTCAACAGCTCAGAAATAATAAAGACCATTAAAGGGTTAAGTGTATTTTAGAGTTAAGTTTTTAGTTGATAACATAACTTTTTGATAAATAGTGTTTAAATGATCTTTTTATGTCGTATCTCTTTTGAACTTACATTTACTGAAATCGACCTGTAGAGCCAATGAAAAATGGTTAAAGAAATAAATTTTCTCCAACTTATTTTACCTCTAGAAAGATAGAGGAATAGATATGCAAAATATTCAAGCAACCAACTTAATTTATCTTGAATCACTTGGTTTGGATTGACCTATAGGATAATTTTAAATATATTTTCATTTATTAGTTTGCGGTTTGGCTTAAAATAACATCAAAAGTTTCCCTAAAAATTTGGACATACTTTGAGATGCAAAAAAACTTGTCCGTCTAAATGATTCATAATGCTTTTAATCAACTAAGCCTTAATATTTCGTTATTTTACAAGAAATTACTATGGTTATATTAAATCTTCAAATAATATTATTGAAAAATGAGAATTCCTAAATAAGTTTGGTATTTTGGTTAGTAATGAGAACAAAAAAATCAACTATAGTTAAATAAAAATTTGAACCTAGAAAAGGATATTTCCCACTCTTTTCTTCCTTATGGCTCACGTTTAATGTAACAAAGTTATTTTATACCATTAGAGCCAATATATACGTACATATATGTTAAAATAGATTAATTTTTTTTTAAAGCATATATTTTATAAGGCATGCTCCTTGTTTTTTAAGTCTTTTATAATTATTATATTTATATTTAAACACGTAAAATTCACAAAAACTGGGAAAATGTATTGAAAAAGGACTATAACAGATCAATTACTAGAGCAACAATTTTGCTAGTCTTAATTTTTTAAATTATGTTTATTAATATATTATAATTAAACACTTGATGGCTCAATATCATGCAAAAGGACAAAGTTTCAAGAATCAGTTATCCCTATGTTGTTAACATGAGGTGGTCAGCAAGAAATAATTTGTATCAATCTTAATTTCAGATTTTTAGATTTATTAACTATTTTCTAGTGATTTATCACCCATTCTTTGGGTAATATCATGAATTATTAATAATATAATTAAGATTTAACAATATAATTGTTGGTTGCCATTGAGAAGGAAATAAATTATATTAAGAAAAACTATTGAACTAATGACTCCACGGAATAGAGCTTATAAATTTATTATTGAAGCTGACTTCTAATAAAATGATTTTTTAAATTAGAATTTCCTGCATAACGTTATTTAGAAATCATGTTTTTTATTGTTAAAACTAAATACCAAATTCTTAAAATAAAATCAATTCATCTTTCTATTTCTATTTCCAGTAATTGCCATCTATTTGGCTGGTGTAAATAAGCTAATTAATTAAAAACAAAAAGTTAAGCATGTTCTTTTTATCTCAGTAAACTTGCCTACTCTTTAATTTTGCCGCTCAATTTACAAAAACATCGACTTACTACAATATGTTTTTGTTTTTTTCTTTAACTGTTTATGTTAATGAGAACAAAACAAACTGTGATATAAAACTTGGTGGTACTAACGCATTAATTTATGTGTTTCTTTACCTACTAATTTGCAAGTTTTTTTTTTTTAACTATTCAGGCCAATCCGTACTTCATCGTACCACTTTTACCATGTAGATTTAAGTGAATCTGAGCTCTTGTCTTGATATCAAAATATTTTTAATTTTAAAGTTTTTTGTATACTGTGTAAATTATATAAGATAAAGAAAATATGCACATTTTGTTATTTGTATTACTTCCCTCTCAAGTTTCTTTGAACAAGCTCAATACTCAGTATTATATCTTTACCATAGTGTCAAAGAACTCTAATATGGCTGTGGAGGCCCTGGCAGGACTTGCCTCGAAGGAAGATATTGGAGGAGTTTTTCTAAAAAAAGCAGACGCACCCTCAGCCCTGACAGCTCAGTGGACTCATCCATTGCTACTTAGAGTAAAGGGCAGGCGCCATCCTATAACATCAGTTGTCAAACCAGTATATACCAGTGTCAATCAAGGAGACTCCTTCATCTTGGTCACCAAAGACCAGGTAAGAATTAATTTTTTTTTTCGAAGTATTTATTACCAAAATTTACTAAACAAATAATTAATTAATTTGAATTTTTTTTCGTTAAAAGGCAAAATTCATAACTTTCAGTCATTTAAATTTTTCTTTTATACTTTTACCCTTCTATTTAGGTTTATTTGGATAAAAATAAAATATTTTATATTATCCAAAAGAAATTAAACAAATATACATTATAATATAATTAATGTGTTAAGAATTGTAGATTAATATACTGAATGCCAATGTTAAGTTTAATATAATGTAAAAATATATTATAATATTCCTTGAAATAAAGTAATTATAATATTTTCAGGTGTTCCATTGGATTGGAGAATATTGTAGTCTTACGGAAAAATCACGTGGCAGTGATATTGCTCAAGACATAGCTCAACGAAAAGATCTTGGTTGTACTGGGGCTAGTAATGTGATCACGCTCGAATCAACTGGCAACTCGGAGAGGCACAAAGAATTTTGGAGGCTGCTCGCTCTTCCAGATCTTCTCATGAGCAGCTACAAAGGTAGTTATCCAATTTATCATGGCTGTGTTTTTTATTTTATTTTTTTATGGAATAGTTTCACGAAGCACCTCAGTGACATGCTGTAACATGTAAATATGTATTTAAGGTTATTTGAATATTTTTATTTTTATGTAATTAGTTGTGTTTTTAGTATAAATTAATCTCTGTAAAGTTTTTGTATATTTTCTTTGGAGAACTATTATAAGTATAAAAACAGCAATTGAAGATAGCTTTATTCTGTTTAATATTGTAAAACACTAATAATATAAGAAGATTCTTGGTAAGTTATGTACATATAGTGGAATGCCCCTCTATTGAACAAAGTTTAAAATAAAGGGTAATTTTTAAAACTTTAAATCAGTTTTATGCCAGATATGTTTATACTAAGTTTAATTTTATTAAAAAATAAATTGACTAAATTTTTCATCAACTAGAATATTTAAAAAATTGGGAATTAGTTAAAATTGCAGTCTCCAACATGCTGTTTTAATGAATATAGACTCGATTGGCTTTTTCTCTTAAGTTAATGTTTAGGCATTAATTTATTGAGTTTTCCTCAATTACGCAATAAATAATTTTTTTTTTCCCTTCATAAAATACATAGTACTGGCCTATTTTTTTTATTAAGTTTTAAAAAACATAATTGTTTTCATAATATATTTTATTATTATTATTTATTTATGATTTCCTTTTCATATAAAAAAAAACCTACTTTAAGTAGAATTAAATGTTGTTCATACTAGTAGGTCCTCTCCACTTACGGATTTTGATTTTACACTTATATCTAAATTAAGCTAAAGCTATAATTATCTTTACAACATTTATCCTAGAACCTTGAATGAACTATTTTTTTTTTTTATCATAATAAAACAAATTGTTACTGTTTATTGTGAAACATATCGGTGTGTATACAAATTCAAACTGTTGTGTGTGCTTATTGATCTGACATCAATAGCCTATTTCTATCACTATTATAGCTTTAGGTTGAATTTGATATAATTTGTGAAATAAAAATTAAAACACCTTTGTTAGGAGGCCACCATCTAGTCCCATCTTAGTTTTAGTAATTTGTTGGTTTATGAGTAATATAACAGTTGCAGGTCTGTTCCACGATTTTTTAAAGCTATGCTTTATTGGTGAGTTTATTAACTCTGTAGGCATCCTCTACTCCATCCACATACACAACCAATTCACTACAATTTTTTATTATTGCTTTTTTGTTGTAAATATATACACAAACTGTATGTATTAATGCATTAGTATTGCATGTTTTAATTGTTGTGACATTTATTTTATCCTTATTTGACACTGAAAACTAAACAAATGTTAATACCAGGCCTGGCCTACCCAAATGACTTTATGGGCCTCTTCAAGGACTCATGATGGTAAAGCAGGCCGCATGTTAGATCTGCATACTTTAAAGAAATATTTAGTAAATGATAAAGTATATAGTTATTCTATGATTCAACGTAATTAACTCTTGAGACTATTAAAGTGATATTGATTTGTTCTTCCTTTCACAGTTTTTGTTTTTCTGATTCTTTGCACATTATAACAATAGTATAAGCAAATTTTAATTTGTTTAATATCGTTTGTGTACATACAATGAGAAACAAAAGTTTCATTAGAAATATAAAATTACAGGTAGCACAAATAGTACATGAAAGCCCGCAGGCTATTTGTTGGCCAGACCTGTTATATATACCAAGCTCAGTTTAAACAAATTTTTATCTGCGAGTAGTGCTAATGTTTTTTGTTTTTTTTTTGTATTGCTTGTATTGTATTTTTTGAGAAGAGCTTTATTTTATTCAAGAAATATAATAGTGCCTTTGTCCTCGCCCTTTATGTTTGATCTAGAATAAAACATTTTTTATCTTACTTTAGTTTAAAAATTTCATCTTAACCTTTTTAAAAATTAATCTATATTCAAGCCTTTTAGTTCAAAAATGATTTATACTACTTTGTATTAGGTGAGGGCGCTGGACATCCTGAAGAAGATTCTGTCTATGAAGTGGCAATGAGTGAGACTTACATGGTCTATCGCCTCTCTGCTGAAAAACTGGTTCCTGTCGAACAATATTGGGGCCGGATACCAAAAGTTGCTATTCTTAACCCTTCTCAGGCAAGTAGTACATTTCATTTTTAAGTGAAAATATGGATATTTTTACTTTCTCATACCTGTAAAGAAACAAGTAAAGTAAAGAAAGTAAGAGAAAGTATTTCGATCATGAAAAATTTTAAATACGAGTTTAAACAGAAATACATCTTTGTTTTATAATATAAATAAAATACTTTTAAAAATAGATGATCATAGGTTGGAGAAAACTTATTTAGAAACTTACTTTAAATACAAATTATATTATTTTTCTTAGAATAATAATCACTGTAAAACATTTATGAACTTTCAATTTAATTACAACAAATTTTTTACTTCTAGAGTGTTTTTTTAATATGGTAAATTTTTCTTTTGCTCAAAGTTATTAGAACTTCTTCTTTCAGCCTTAATCTGGTTTCACAAAAATATTTGGAATGTTCTGTTCTTTTTGTTGAATCAAAATTTCCAATTTATATTTAAATGTATATATTTACAAATGCTTATATGTAACATTAATTTTTCATTAATATATTAAAAGTGCTTTTTTTTTTAATTGTACACATTTCAGTATTATTAGCAATGAATTATTATGAATATTGTAAATATAGTTATTAGTGTAATAGAACTTAGTTTTTATATATTTCTGCATTGGGAGCTCTGATACTTTTTATATTTGAAATAATCAATTAATTGTAATTTGATATTTCAGGTCCTTGTGTTTGATTTCCGTTCAGAAGTATATATCTGGTCTGGTAAAAATGCAGATATGGCAGAGAAACGAATCGGCACAAGACTCGCTCATGAATTGTTCAAAGGAGGCTATAATTCTTGTTGGTATCCAACTGGTAAGTACCATTGTTTTTTTTATTGGCTATACATTTCTATTCTATTCTGTTCTGTGCTATAAACTATATGTTATTCAACAGGCATCAGTTGGTTAGATGAAGAAATGAGTAAGAAGGAGAGGCCGGAATGGTCTATCCTACGTCGTATCACCCAACATATGGAACCTGTTATATTTAGGGAGAAATTTTTAGACTGGCCTGACTTTTCTAAGATAATACAAGCAAAGCAGATCAAACCTGACAATGATTCTAAGGTAATTTTATTATTTACTAGCTGATTGACTAGAACCTATTTGGCTTGGTGTTTAAATCAATGTGATAGATAATATATTTAGTGTGAGTACCCAGTATTTGTTGTGATGCTACTGAAAGATTTGATAAGTAATAGTTTTATACTTCATTCAGTCTTCTACCTCATTTTGTCTTTCTCCTCATTTTATCTAGGCTGCATTTTTTCGATAAACAATATTTTGTCTTTTCAAAGATATTTTTAATAATAGCAAAGTGCTGTGCTATTCTAACAATAATGAAGCAATAACAGTGTAACAATTAAATATTATTAAGTATACCTTGTCACAGGGTTGAAAATATTTTTTACTTTCTTTCTTCATCATATAGAGGATTTCAATAGCTGAAACCATTGTGAGATAACTGATCATTTTGCAAAAAAGCACATAAAAACATTCCAGTAGTTTTTGCAGTTAGTGGTTACAAATGAAAAACAGGCTGACGTTTTAATAAGGATTATTTAGTTATGTAAGCCATTATATTATTTGAAATTTAATAAACTTTATAAGTAAAATAATGTATATTAATGACGTATAAACTGTTTATGAACTATACATTTTTTTCTATTTAAAGGCTGATGGAAGCGTGGAAATACGACCTTGTGACATAAAAGAGATGATCGATTGGGAACCACCAGAACCTGATCTAATTCTCGAAGGGACACATCTCGGGAGAGGAAAATCCTATTATGATGAAGAGGTATTACAGCAATCGATGCTAAATTGTAATAAGTAATATTATTGGAAATATTCTTATTAACCAATTGGAATGTTGATTTTAAATTTTTAGACCCGAAGGCTATTTGAAGTAAAGACCCTGACTGTTGACATATGGCATATCCATGACTATTCTAGGACTCCATTGGACAGGCCGAGCTATGGTCATTTTCACAGAGGAGATTCGTATATCATTAGATGGAATTATTCCATCACAGTAACAGGTTAGTTAATTATTTTTAATGATTTATCAGATGTATAGTACTATTAACAATATAATATGTTATACAAATAGGATCATGTTAAAATTTGTCAACTGTCTCAAAACTTTTGGTATTGATTTTTTTCACAATTACATTTTATCCTTGGTAAAGATGGAAGGATATGAAACATAAAAATAAAATAAAGACATTACTAAACTGGATGGTGATGGTTTTAGTGATTAATGTCCTCCACTGATAAAAGGATTTAATAGGTTTTATTGTTTACATTACCAATTTTTAATATCTTGTTATTGCATTCACTTTTTTTATTTTAGTTAATATATATATATATATATATATATATATATATATAAACATTTAATTATTAATCTAAATATAATGAAAATTGATCTATACCTGCAGGTCGTGAACTGAGTGGGGAACCTTCAAAACATGGTTCAACAGGCCGTGAACGAATCGCCTATCTTACCTGGCATGGAAGCGATTCACCTAGTCTGGAGCAAGGGGCAGCAGCCTTGCACACTGTTGATTTGGACTCGGAAGCGGCTACGCAACTAGTCGTCAGTTGTGGTCGTGAGCCCCCGGTATTTCTCACTTTACTTTCATCACCGATTGTAGTTCACTTCAACTCAAGGGCAAGTCTTTCAAAAGGTGAATTTTATAATTTTTTTATTTCTTAACCTACCAATGTTTATTTCTACATTAACTAAATTCAACTCAGAGCCAAATCACTGATAGTACATTTCAGGGCGGTTGGCTGAAGTAATTAAAAGTTCTTATCTTGTTTAAATTACTCCCAGATATCTGTATTGTGGCTATAAAAAAGATAATTAAAAAATAAAATTGTGGACACTTCACAATTGGAAAAGAAAAATAATACATCTGTAAAGAATTTAATTTTATCGTTTTAAAACATTTAAATACATTTTAGCCAATTAGATACTAACTAGAAATTTTCAAAAATAGTAATAAATTATGTTAAATATTTTCAAAAGGATATCTTTTCAAATTTTTGGTAAACATTTTAAATTTGTCAATATTCTCTGAGTACTGTGATTATGAATTATGGTAAGTTATGTTATAAAAATTACTCAGTTCACTAGTTGTGGGAGAAATAAAATTGTTATCTTAGAAGCAATAATTTAATTTTTATAAAAAATATTCTAGCTGACCATCAAGAAATACCAGGTTTTATCAAAATCGCTAGCCATATTGAAGTGCTCATGAGTGTAGAAACAAATTCAAATTAAAAAACACAGAAGGTTGAATAATTTAAATCTTGCTATTTTCATTAGGTCAATGCAAAAACATGTGTACCGGGTTTTACCTAAAAGCAGTAAAGGTGGTAATGAACCCCTCAATTATTAAAAGGCCAATGAAAAATAAGTATAATTACAGTTTTATTAAATTCAGTTTAGTCAATCTAATATTTTAATGAATTGTAATTTTTAAGTGATTGATTATAGTTGGTAGTATCCCACAGCTCATTAAAAGTACTGAAAAATTTTGTTTTCATTCATGGGACATAAAATATTAAAAATTTTATTATTAATATTGTTGCTGTAAATCTTTGCCTCCATGGCAACACCCAGCACTCACATCTTTTAATATTAGTTCAACCTATAAATATTTCTATATTATGTCCTAATACTAGCATATTTCGTATAATTATATAAAATATGCTATAATCATAATTGGTGATAAATATTCAGGATGCAGTCATTATTAAGTTTTTATGAGTGCCACCGTTTCAACCCTAACATGTGGGTCATCATCAGGACGTGTTTCAAGCACTGAAGGTATTCAAGTACTGAGAAACGTCGGCACTAATAAAAACTTTATAATGACTGCGTCCTGAATATTTATTATCCATGATATGTAAAACAGTCGACTAACTTCCTTCATATAATTATAATTGTAATACAGTTATTTTTATTGTAATAATTTGTTTTTGATGAAGTTATTAGCTTTGAAGAAGATTAACATAAGGTTTCAATAGAGCATAAGGAATGTTATTTAGTTAATCTTAGTGTTAAATTTATCAAATAAATAAATTAAAACTGTTTGAACAGATTCAAGAAAAAAGAAATGTTGTTCAAAGAATGTAACACTGTTAAAAGAATGGTTTGATCAACAAGGAAAAGTTTTTGATTACACAAGTACAATAAAGAGAAATCCCTTTCCTGTGTTACAAGTCCCAATGGGTATGGTTTTCATTAGAGTTAGATTAGATAATTTTAAACCTTCAGATTTCCTTCATTTTTCCTTATATTACAAAATATATTTTACAGAAAGTATAAGCACTTATCTAAAATTCTTTTATTTTTATATCTTTTTTTGTTTATTATTTTTAATGACATCTATCTGTTGATGGTTGAAACATGAAATTATTTTTAGAACAAGATATTGCCAACACCAGACTGTACATAGTTACTGGAGAGGACGAAGATGAAACTCGGCTGGATGAGGTTGAGGCAAGTGAGAAGTCGCTGCGGTCCAACGCTTCCCTGTGGTTGGTTCGACCAGCGCTGGGTTCGAGTTACCTTTGGTACGGCTGCTGTTGTACTTTCAAACTTCAGGCTGCCAAAGCTGTCAAGAGGATAGCATCTTCGCCTCCACCAGAGCTTGGCGCATCAGTATCATCTATAAAAGTAGGGCATCCATTGATTCTTTAGTTATTTCATATTTGCTAATGGTAAAGTAAAGAATTAATATAAAATTATTCATATGATTTCTTCCTTTTTTTTTCTTTCTGTCGATTTAAAATCTTAATGGCAGAAAAGTCCTATACAGAAAATAGTAAGTGCCAATTGTAGCCAATAGAACAGCGAGAAAAAATTAATTTAATGCTATAGTGATTGATTCAGGATTTGAAATGAAAATTTTAGTTTTTAATCAGTTCAGATATGACTGGAATTATTATTTTAAAATATTTTTCTGTTATTTCTTAACTATAGCTTTTATTTGAAAGTTCTTTTAAGACAATCTTGCTAAAAAGTAATTCTAAAAAATCATACTTATGCAGCATCTTCTTTTCATGTGAAACAATAGAAATATAAGAACCAGGCATTTGATCCAATATAAATTACATTTGTAAATTAAGCCTAATTACTGTTTAATTTATTTCATGTAACTTTTTTTTAATCACTAGCAAAAATAAAAAAAAGTTTCTTACAAATTTTATTTTTAAACTTTTTTCCAAAAAAAGGTTATCTTGAAACTTTTAAAATAGGACTTTTAAAAAAAATAATAACCAAACACATTTAGGTAAAAAATGGTATATTTTTATTAAATATATTAAACCCAACAGGTTAATGAGATAGAAGAAGGAGATGAACCAGACCAATTTCTCGGTGGCTCAGACAACATTAGGCGCAGCAGTTATAATTCCCAGCTGATGACACCTTCACTGACATCTGAGCGACAGGCTCGGCTGTACCATCTGACCTCACTGACAGGCGAACTGACTGCGATTGGAGTACCATCACTTAGGACGAGGTCTAACAAAATGGTCACAGCATTTCCCTACCTTCAGGACGACCTATACTCTGCTAGCCAGCCAGGTAATTGCTTCATTTACTTCTGCGGTATTAACAACCTATTTTCAAGAATTTACAAGAACAATAATATATTATTTTTTTCATAATGTTAGTAAAGAAATTAAGTTCCTATTTTTCCTTATTTTTGTTTTAAAAAAAGATGAAAAATTTGTTGCATTAATGCTTACCGAGGAAATTAAATAAAATTTTAAAAACAATTAAACTTTTGAATTTGTTGTTAATGTTTTGTTTTGAAACATTTTATAATTTAATTTGTTAAAATGTCGACATTGGGAAACAAAAAATTAAGCCTCAGAAGATGTTATTATAACCCCAACTCAGTCTGAAGGTAGATAAAACATTAAAGTTTTTTGGTTTTTGTTCTGTAATTTCAACTAGTGATTATAATCTATTATTATGGGTGGAAATATGACTAGTATAACAATAATAATGTTTATTACAAATAGAATATCTAAATCAAAACATTATCAGAGCATTGATCTGATACCATACAGTATACACTTTCACTCCTACTACGAAGTATAATCGTATTACAGATTTCCTTATTTACCTGTTAATTACAAATAGCTATAAAATATATCATTTATTATTAAACTCTTTTACATCTATCTGTGTAATTTCAGCCCACTTAACAATATTTTATAAATCAGGAAAGATTTTATTCCATGGACAGTACTTTTTTTTTACTTTAATGATTGGTCGTGACAAATTTTTAATGTAAATAATCTATTTTGTATAAAATATAAATAAAAAGTTGTCTTTGAATAATACGTCAAATATGTTTTATAGAAAAAAAGTTGTTTTCCTAAAATCCCCACGTATATTATAACAGTAAGGCTTGAAATCGGTTTTGTACCAAATATAAGCTTCTGTCATGCTCAAATACCATGAATGGGGAACCGTTGGATTCAGAATTTCACGGAGGGGGGGTTAGCAAATTGTATTCTCCACTTTTGTTTTTCTTTCTAAAATAAATAAAGTCGATACAAATATTTTGCTAGGCTTCAATACTGGAACGGTGGTAGGTCTGTCGTTCGATACGGGATAAATTGGATCTTGAAGATTATGATGCATACAGCAAGACCCGTATAGTTTTAAGCCCAAAAACGTACTATTTTGGAGATAACGCAAGGCATAGGATTCGCATCCACACAACCTTACATTAATTGCAGTACTGTCATTGAATACATGTCTCATTTCGTCGACTTGAGGTCTCTATGATCGAGAGAGGAGGAGTTTATATTATTTATGGATGGTGTTTTTGATCGGCAAGCCATATCATCGTTAATTTTTCACCAAATCTCAAGATTGAGCCACCAATTTCGAAGGCTTCCTTTTCCTTCAGGCGGGCATAATAGTACAATCATCCCGAAAATTCAGGCAAACAAGTTATGAAAGAAAACAAACTTTATTTGCGAATAACTAAAAAATTATACACTTTTCCCTTGGTTATGCCCATGATTATATAAAAGATTACTAAATTCCCTACAAAATGAAAAAAAAAATCATCGAAATCAATTAGAAATTTTTCCAATATTTTTTTTTCATTTTATTATTCATTTTTTCTTATTTTTGATTAATATTCATTAGGAACGTTCTATTATAGCCCATTTCATTTGAAAATAACTATATATTTGGCATATAGCTATAGTATCAGTACAACGTTGAAACAATTTGTACTGAACGAAGGAGGAAAGTGGGTTCAAATATATATATATTTTTTTAAGGGAAAACAGAGTTGAGATTTGTATTTCGCACCTCTATAAAGCCTAAAAAACGAATAACTAAAAAATTACACACTTTTCCCTTGGTTATGCCCACGATTATATAAAACATTACTAAATTCCCTACAAAATGAAAAAAAAATTATTGAAATTGGACAATATTTAGCAAAGATACAGCTTACTGAAATTTGGATACATGTTGGTTCCAAACAGAAATGAAGATTTAAATTAATTTTTTTTTTCTTTGTTGATTATATTTATTGATAAAGGAACATTTGATTTCTTTATCTTTTGATATGTTGCATTATTTTCTTTTCTTATTAATTTAGCATTTAAGAACAATATGCTGTGCGAATTTTTCGCACGGGCCGACTAGTGTATAAATATTTGTTCAAAGGGTGTGAAATTTTAATTTAAGATTAGCTTCTCAAGGCAAAAAAATCATTTTCAACGAAAACTTTGTAATTAAAAGAATAAAATAAAATTCTAAAGCATAGTATATTGTAAATAATGATTATTTCTTTTTCTTTTTTTTTTTTGGAAGCTACAAAATTGGGAAAAATATTTTTCTATTAAGAAACAAAATCAATTTGTATACTATTTACTTTTTCATGATTTCATGTATATTTTTGTGCTATTTTTTTTTTTTAGTGCTTCTTTCATTAAAAAAGAAAAAATATGCAGTTTTATTAATTTTCTTATATTGTATGCCTACAGCTGTATTTATCCTGGAGAGCAGTAGCAGAGTGTGGGTGTGGACTGGGTGGTCACCAGCGGACGCCGATGAGCGAGGCTCGCATATGGTGAGGCACCAAGCTGAGAAGAAGGCAGCACACACCGTAGCCCTCGGCTTCGCTAGGGCCGTTAATCTAAACCCTGCGGATGTGGTCACTGTGGTAGCTGGGCTAGAACCACCAGCTTTTACATCTCTCTTTCCCACGTGGTCTCTGAATGAAGAGGCCAGAGCAGCCAGTTTAGAGGTATCATCTGTTAATTAATACTCGATAAATAATTTATCAATAACAAAACATAACCTATTATTATTTTTAAAACTACTGTTTATTGTGGTTTTTTTTTCTCCCAAACTCTCAATTTGAATGATATATAGGAAGTATATATTATATAGGAGTTTTAGCTTTTTTCTGAAATGGGATTTTGAGGTTGGTTGTTCTGGCAATCTAAAATTGTAAGGATTTTAGAAGTCGGTTTATTGTAAACTACAGTTTGAATCAATAAATAAATCCATGGTCCCACAGCTCTTTGATGAAAGATATAAATTGGCCCCACGCATTGAAAAAATAGTACTGGAAATTATTTAAAACTTTTTACCAAATTATTTCAGTAATTATTGTAATATAATTATTATGCAACCTTTATTGTTGTGAAACATCTCCACATACTTGAAAAATCTGGGCTCACTTAAAATTGGTCTTAATTTCTTGTTTTAAAATAAATTATTATGAAATCACGTTTTAGTTAATCCTGTTTCTTAAATTAGTATTCTATATAAATTGATTTGATTGATAACTGTTCTGATTGGTGAAGGATGGCTGGAGCGATGGCGAGATGAGGAACACGCAGGAGGAGCTGGCTGCTCTGATGCGGGAGAGCTACCCCCTTCACACCCTGACCAGCAACCCGCTCCCTGCTGGGGTAGACCCAACCAGGCTTGAACTCTACCTTGATTCCTCAGATTTTAAGGTCAGCCAATTGTTATTTACATATTTTTAACAACTATATTTACTAAAGATTCATTGCCATTAAAATTTAAAATGAAAACAATATTGAATTACCTGAATGCTGTTCTGTATTGTTGAAAATACATGTATCATTGTCTTTTAGTTGGCTCCTATGGGTCCTGACTTCCTCCAGTAACAATCTGTATGTGTTCCAGCCTTGTTCTAACTATCCAGTTTATTATTACAGTATGCATTCAGTATTCTGGACCATTCGACCCATCACCGGTTAAATAGTGGCTCAATTAATATTTATTTTGTATTTAGCTCCTTGGACTTAGAAGGAAAATAATCCACTGGCCAATTTTTGAAAAGAAAAGAAAAATATTTTTATTATTCTGGAATGTAATGATTAGAATTCATATGATTTGTCCTTTTAAAGGAAATTATATTAACATCTTATGTTGCCCATATTGTCTTCAACTTAATTGATTTTCATTCATTAATACAATAAGTATAGGGGGGAAATTACCTTATATAAAAATATGATCTGGAAGAAATGTTTTTATAAAACATGAAATTTTAAAAACAAAATACAGTGTAGTTTGAATAATTAGAAAACGTTAAGAATGATACTGAGCATGTTGGATAGAAAATGGATGGTCTCTGATGAAGAAGGGAAAAAGGGAAGGGAGGTATGGAGAATCCTTGAGGTATGCCTCTGGGCAGAGGTTGAGAACCAGAGTGGGTTTTATTACATACAGGTCCACAGATCCAACAGAAAAATCCTTTTAAAAATAAAGAGTTGTTTATAATTTTAATGGTTTTAGCAAAATTCAGATATAACCAACAAAAAATTGATACAAATAAATTTCTAAGTTTTTTGCACTGTAATTCTGAAGTACCTAATTTATTGAGGTCATTTTATATTTAAAAAAAAATTAACAGCATGTTTACTAAAAATAATCATGAATTATTATAAGCCCACATAATTTAAATCTTAAAGTATAAATGTATTGATAATTGAGTTATAAAATGTTTTATCATATTTTTTACTATAGTTTATTTACATAAAATTACAGGAAGTGTTTGGGATGGAAAAGGAAGAGTTCTCAGAGCTGCCAGCATGGAAGCAGGTGAAGTTGAAGAAGGCAGTGAACCTCTTTTGAACCAGAGACAACGCACAAATATAAGGAGATTACCAGAACCATGTGATCTTATTTCTAGGAGCTTTAGTAACCCCCGATTCCAGATGGCTGTGAAATTAACATTTAATGTGACCTTTGCAATGATTAGAAATTCTTTTATTTCGGCATCTTCCTCTCTGCCATTCAATTCTTCCATTCGAATGCATTGTACATAAGGCTTGATATTTCGGAAAAAATTAACATGACTAACCTGTTATTTTAAAAATTCTTTTTCATGACATTTATTTCATTTTTTATAAATAACAGTGGTCATTATTTTTATACTGATTTAGTTTTTAGTATCTTTTTATACTGTTGTAATATATATTTGAATGTGTGTATGTGTATATGTCGTGGTTGTTAATTGTATTTACTTAACTAAATATATCTATAAACGAGACATGAAATCGCAGACCTAAAATCTCACAGGTCTTGAGCATCGGAAGACTTTGTGTTGATTCGCTTTAATGAGTTTAACTCTGTTGCGTACACTGCCATTTCAGCATGTGAGACCTCGTTTGTGTCTTTTCTCTTTCTTATATCCTTGATATTATTCCTTTGTTTTCTCTCTATATGTGTGGTTGTATTATTTTGTATTTATATAACTTAGAATTTGAAATATTTAAAAAAAAATTTGTTGTAACATATACCGTATATTTAAGAGATTAACCAAGCTTGAAAGTATATATTGTTGTATATTTAATTGTTATATAAATTATATTATTTCAATTTTTTCCTGAAGTTAATTTATGATTATTAAATAAAAATTGTTATATAGCATCAATATTCTTCTAAACTCCTTAACCCTTGTGATTTTCATGCCATTTTAAATAAATGGTAGGTACTGGAAATTTAGTTTTATGAAAAAACTTTCAGTGTTAAATATTTATTTGATTGAGGCTGAAGTAAAATTATGTATGTTCTCTGTGCAGTATTTTTAATACAAGTTTTAAAAAGATTCATTAGATTCTTATAATATCCAATATTGAAGATATTAAACATAATGTCGTAACTATTGATAATAAGTCAGTCTCCAGTTCTTAAATTAATATATGTTCACATAAATTATTACTGTTGTTGAATTAATGATAAAGAGAATCATAGATCATATTTATGAACATCAATTATACTTTTAAAAAGTGTTTTTATCTATTTTTTGAAAAGCTGACCGACCATTCATTAGTGTTTCCAGAAAACGACTAGATCCAGTTAATTGACATTAAACCAGATTGGGCTGATAGCTTAAAATAAGAATTATTAAGGAGCAGGAAATGATCCTCAACAATTGAAATTAATATTTATGCAAGACAATATATGAAGAAATCAATATATCCATCTTCTTAATATTAAAGTAATATTTATGTATTACTTATGAGAGTTTGAATTCAGCCAAAGTTCCTAATTAAATTCTTAATTATGTGGGTACATGTTATAAAAAATAAATATTGTGCGATCAAGAATTACTGAATATTATAGTGATTGAATTTTCCAAAAAGAAATAATTATATTATTGTGATATATATGAATTATTTTAAGTAATGAAAACAATTTTCTTCAACCACGAAAAATATAATAAAACAGTTTGTATTAAAAATTGATGTCAGGCTTGTTTCTCACATCTTAAAAAAAACACACATATATATATATGTGTGTGTGTGTGTGTGTTTATACTTATTTTACTTTACTAGAACTTTTAAAAATTGTTCATTTTTATTGTTCTTTGGGGACTAAATGTCCCAGAATAAAATTTTTACTTTTCACCTTTTTATAATTCAAATCTTTTTTATACAATTATTTCACCAACAAGCAATTATTTTTCAGCCTTTGTATATGTCCTTTAGTCTAAATTGAAAAAATAAATGTTTCGGTGGGAGAATTGTGTTGGTGTTATTATCCAAACTCGTGATGTGCAACAAAGCAGTTTTATTTATTTCAAACTTGCTGAACTCCTGTGGTCGGCTCATTGGAGGAAAGTGAGAATCTCTTGATTCTTAAAATATGAAATCATCAAAAAAGTTTTTATCAAATTTAGCTGCTGATACGCTATCCGCTTTCCTTAAGTTATTTTCATATCCGCTTTAAGTTAAAAAGATGAATAAACTAATTACATTAGCTGATAATAAATAATTAGTTAGTGTTCAGTAAATCATTAAAATATTAAATGAAAATTTAAAAAAGATTCCATTTAAAACTGTCAACAAAGGGTGAAATCTTGCATTTGTATTAGAAGGATAGGGCCACAGGAGCTCAACTTCTCAATACTAACTTGTTGCCGGTATCGGTCTCTTTCGGCAGTTGATAGAACTAATATGCAGTTCTAGTTTACTCCTTCGCCAACAGATACCAGTTACTGTATTTAAATGTGTATTTTTCATTCAGTGAAGATTTTACATCCTGAGAAATGAAACTAAATAGGATATTTATGAGTTATTAAAATTACCATTAGGTAAGTCTTATATTATTAAGATAAATCTTTGTTTAAATACGTTATAGAGTTATTAGTTATATTGGTTTTTGATGAAGAAAAATAATTTTATTTTAAATCACAAATGAACTAAGAATTGTAATAGAAATAGAAATTATAGTTAATAAACTCTAATATCTTTTCTTGCATACAATAACATGTTAATGAATACAAATTTGTTAAACTAGACTTGTAATAATTGTTGACCAAAAATAATTATGGGTTTGTTTCTTATTGATATGAAATACTGATTTTTTGTAAAAACTACATACAGTTCAGGATATGCAAATTTGGGCCTTGTTACATTTTCTTTCAAACTGTATAATATAATTAAGACACAAATCATATTTCCTCTTTATTGGATTAATAGAATCAAATAAGAAGTATTAACCATGAATGAAATATAGATAAAAATACATAGGTCTAAACTTAATCTTAAAATCTTGACATAAACAATTGGTTTGTGAAAAATTCTTACCACTCTTCTTTTATAAAATTTTTAATATAAATTTCATAAATTTATTTTTCACTTGCTCCTACAATTTCTCCTATTTACACATTTGAAAAATTCATGAATTTTTTTTTAATTAACTGCTTTTATTCAATCATATTCCTTCCTGTTCACTGAAAATTATTAATCCCAGATAAGAAAAAAAGTAACATGTCTGTAAGGCAAAGTATTCAAACATTTAAGTGTCCTTCTTAACACTGTATGCAGGTACTGACTTAAATCTCTACCCAACATTCTTGTTATTATCAGGCAAATAATGGATAATTAACTTATAATAATTTTTATATTCTATATGTAACTTATCCCTTACTATAGGAGAGAGAGTTACATATCCTTACTGCACTCGTTAAATGTTTAACCGTAAATAGAAAGAAAGATTGTAGTGCACTTAGTGACTGCTGGTATAATATATTTTAACTTTTTAATAAAAAGTACATAGAAGTAGGAGAGCAATTTCTTTCAAATTTTTCATTTATTATTTAATTAAACAGTCTCTTGATAAAATATAAATGTCTTTCCTTAATTAGTTTTGAAATTACTTATAAATGTACAGTCCCATCATTTTGGCAAATAAAGTCATCCCTTGATGTCATAAGAGGAATCAATTTAAATATTTTATGACATCCAAAATACGACCAGCTAGCATTGGGTCATGTTATAAGAACCTTAGTGCCCAGCAAGTGCGTCCTCACATATATAATCAATTTTTGATTAAATTCCTCCATGTCACATCCTCTTGGCCAAACAGTTGTTAAAAAGTCTAAAGGTACAGAATTAGTGTATTAAGGTAAAGTCATATGGAGTCCTCCCTATTTGTTCTTTGAAAAAAAAGTATCAGTTAGTATTCAGCACATTCAACGACTTAACTATCAGCAATAATCTTTCTTCTGGAGCCCTTACGTCTTGTAATGATCTTAGAATGGCAAATCAACCTGGGAGAATTCCAGAAATTGGATGTATAATCTGTAAAGGAACATCACTAAAGATTGGAGTCAGAAGGATAAATGAAATCTGACGATATAGGAGCTCAATGATTCTGCTGTTGAGTTTTCAACAGTGCAATTATGAGAGTGAATTACAAAGAAACTAATGAGGAAAGTAATAAACATTTACTTGGTGTGATGTGTAATTTATTGAATAAAATACCAAAAGTTTATCTAGCTGAGGGTAGAAAGACAGTGCGTACATATATGCATAAATGGCGCTACATCTTGTCACTGAGACTGAGCCTCCTCAGAAGTTTATTTTCATTTTGCTTCTTAAAGGCCCATGCTTCTGATCCATAAGTTAAAACAGGGCGGACCAAGGTTTTGTAGAGAGTGATCTTGGTCCTGTTAGAGAGGAACCTGCTTCTAAAATGCTTCGCAAGGCCAAAGTAGTACCATCTCGCCATGGCTATTCTCCTGTTGACTTCTCGAGAGATGTTATTTTCGGAGTTGATCTCAGAACCAAGGTAGACAAAGCTGCTTACCTTTTCGAAATATATGGTCCAGCCACAAAAGAACCGGTCCCTGTCCCATCTCCTCCAACTCTCATATACTTGGTCTTAACTTCATTAATGTGTAGCCAAGTTTCTTTGCTGCATCTTCAATAGCCAAGAACAACCCTCTTAATGCACGTTCCGATCTGGCAGATATATCAAAGTCGTCCGCGTACCAAAGAAGCTGAACAGTACAGTTAAGAAGGGTTGCGTGGAGTTGGATTCCGGACATAAGCACGGCTTTCTCTGCAGCAAAGTTAAAAAGAAAATTTATTGCTTATGCTAGAGCTTCCCCGTCTTACACCGCAGTTAGTATGAAATTCTTCCGAAATATTACTTCCCACTCATACTGCACACTTAGAGCCTGACATCGTCATTTTCAAGAGAGGTATCAAGGAAAGTAATAAACATTTACTTGTTGTAATATGTAATTTATTGTATAAAATGCCAGAAGTTGATCTAGCTGAGGGTAGAAAGACAGTATAGGGTAGGGTAGAAAGACAAAGATAATAATAATATTGAACTGACAATATAAGCCCCCAAAAAAGAAAAAAAAAAAAACTGTGATGTGTGCATCAAACAAGTTTCACTTACCGCTCTACTTTGAACAGAAATTATTTTCTGACAATGTTGGAGTAATATGAACTGCATTTTCAACAGAGTTAAACCTTAAACCTTACAGCTAACCTGCAACAACTCATTAAGGTCATTTAAATAACACAATTCTTATTTATTATATCGACGGTAGGCAATAAAACCCTTATTACTACATCTGTTTTTGTAAATTATGTAATTCTGGTCTCTGAGCTATATATGCCCAGAGAGATTTGAAAGCACGTCTGTATATTTAATCTATAAATGATTCTGGACTGTACAATTATTAGTTATTAAACTTTTATTTTCCATTGAGAAGTTTACTATAATGTAGTTTCATTGCCTGTCATAGATAAGTCTAAAGTTATTTAACTAATGGTAAATGGATAATGTTGTGATTTCACCAAGGCCAAATTCATCAAATTATTCACTAATTTAAATTTCTAAAAGCTTACATGAGGATTTTTCGGAATAAATGGATGATAGATACCTATTATTAAAATATAATATTAGATCTAGTTATTAAACTACAGTAAATATATTTAAGGTTATAAACATATATTTTACACATCTGTAAAATATGTTAACATTTCTTTTTTTCTTTCACATAAGTATAATGAAATAGTTTTTTAAACAATGTCGTTGGATTTTATATATATATATTTTTTCATTCTTGAACATTATTTCAAAGTTATATTTCATAAAGAAATTCCATTTACTTTCCTTGGAAAGTAAATTGTGGTTCCGTTAAATAATTTGTTTTCAAATATTATTATTAATAACTTTTTTGTCACTCTCCATTACCTTCTCCGACTTTCCATATTAGATATTGCTTTTTTATCTAAAATTCTCTGCTTTCCAATGATATAATATACGTATATATTCCGACTATTATTTCTGGAGAATCATTTTCGAACTAAACAATCATTTTTCCTTTATCATTATTCCATACACACAAATTCCATTTCGTGGGAGGTGTATATCCGTTGAAAACTCAGATTCGAAAATTTTCACAATCGTAATACTTTCCCTTACAATATATAATATATTTCATATACACATTAGTAAAAGTAAAAAGGTCAACTGCGACCATAGCTATTTGAACTAATATCTTGACTTAAATTACAAAATAAGTTTGTAGAGTTCACAAAAGCTTATCAAGACACAAATTATTAACAGTGAAAGACTAGTTATTTTTTAAGGACAAGATTTTGGTTGAACTTTTAGTATGTCTTTTACAGATTAATAAATTCACAAAACAATTACCGATTTAGAAACAATTTTGCAAAACGTTAATGTTACTTTTAACACAAAATCTGATCATTGAAAGACATTTTACATATGATATGAAGAGAAAATAATCCAAGAAAATAAATAAACAAGGGATTTTATTGTTTATTAGATAAACACTTCATATCTATATATCTTAGGAACAATAAAAGAACTATCTATCCTAGGCCAGTTTAATATTATTTGGTAACGATACAACATTCAATACCTCATCTAAAAAAACAAAAAAAGAAGGTTTTAAAAATTGAATGTTAATATAAAAGTTTTATAGTAATTTTAATGTTTAAAGTTTTTTTCCATACAAATATTTAAAAAAAAAAAATGTAAAACTAATCTTTAAAAATAAACAGGCTCATCATGAATCAATTTCTTTTGTAAAACAATACAATCTGAAGAAAATACTTTCTATTAAAGGTCAATACAGTTGAACTCTTATTTACTGAACTTCTAAAAATAGAAAACATCTAATTTTTTCCCTTAAATCTCAATTTTCTCCAAATAAGGAAAAAAATTAGTGTATGCAATAAAATGTGTTTATTATTAATAAATTTATGATAATAAAGATTATTCTAATCTTTACTTCATTAACTATATACATACACATTTTTATACAAAAAATTTGTGATTGGTTTTTAATTTTGCATAAATATTCATGCAAATAATGAATCATTTAATCTGCTTTTTTAGCCAAGAATCTTCAAGTTCGATTATCTCTATTCTTCATAATAAAGAAATATCTTTCATATAAAAAGTTGTATATAATTTCTATAATGAAAGGCTATGATAATGTGATGTATAGGAAAGAACATCAAAAATATATTGCATTAATACATATATTGTACATTATTGTAACATCTATTTAGACTAATCAATATATAAAATAGAATTTATATATAAAATAAGGAAAGCAATGAATAATAAAAACTTTATTCTCTTCTAACAATATAACACTATAAATAGATGGTCTGCAGCATCAGTGCATTAGGAAAAATCAAGATGATAAAACAAATTTGAGACATAAAACATAAATACACTCATATCATCTTAAATTCACGTTGATTCTAAAATTAAATTTATCACTTATAAACAACGAAATATCTATATATAAATATATTTATATATACTCAATATTTAATTGCTCTTTTTTAATTTACACTTTTATTGTTAACAAACGCACATGCACGTTCACTTTATAAAGTCAATAAAACTAATTTGTGAGACTATGATATAACGTTGAAGAGGTCGCCGGCTGAAGGTAAAGGTGCAAGCCTGCCAGACGTCACGTCGGGGAGCTTTCGGAGATCTGGGAGGTTAGAGAGATGGGATAACACTTCATGCCTCACCTGCTCCACCTTTATTAACTTATCTTTATACTCCTATGGAAAAAAGAAAATTAAATATTACTTTTAATCAAATTAAATTTAATATTTATAAATTAATTTAAATTTTAAATATCATAAACACAAAAATAATTCTATGCCATTATTACAACTACCAGAATACAACACTAATTTTTTTTTTATTTGCACGTTTAAAATTAGCAAATTGGCTAGGAAGTAAAGATTAAGATGTAATGTTATTTGTGATTTAAGAGTTATTAATAATTAACATATTGGAATGTTTTTCCTATTTTAAAATGAAAATAATTTTGTCTGTTAGAATTTCATGGTAAAAATATAACTTCTTAACACATTAAAGGCGGGAGTCATAGTACAACGATTTATCTCGACCAGCATACTTTCGTCAAGATCCGCCGCCTTTAATGTGTTAAAAATGGAATATATAAAATTAATTTATTATAAAATTCTACTACATAGAACTGTAGTTTTACCATGATTAGTTAGCAGCCCAAGCTCGAATTTATGCAGCACCAAGTTGATGAACACATTTTGTAATTACGCTAACTCTCCATTATTATTTTAAAATACTTACAAATATTGAAAGATAATATCGTAATTTGTATAGAGCGAGTGTAAAAAATTTGCAGCTTTTTGATTTTTGAACATGGATTTATAAATAATGAGAAACAATAATTTGGTAGGATTCATGAGAATATCAATCTAATAGATAAATAAAACGTTATTATTTTCATGTTGACTGAAATTTTAGTGTTTTAATTAATCCAAATATTTATGCATAAAGGTATTTCTAAAATATTGTCATTGTTATTGTTAAATCATAGTCAACGCAACATGTGGATTCAGAGACCAAATTCTTTAAAGTTTTGAAACTTTACAATATTGATGGATGGATAATGAGCAGGAAGGAGAGAGAGGAAAAAGATAACTTTTATCTATTTTTTTATTAATATGTCGTAGCCTATTAGGTTTCTGGAAAAATCGATCGGTCATACCTATAGCTTAGTTTTGATATAAATTGTAGTTTCTGTTTTGACAATAAAATGTTTAAATATTTATTGGTGAAATATGTAAAAAGATTAGCATTGCTTTAAAATCAGATGATAATTCATTTTCCTGTTAATACCAAAATATAATGTTACATATCATTTCTTTCAAATCCACTTAGTGACTTTTATTATCAACTCCCTTCAATCAACAGATTCAATGTTTTCAAATCAACAGATGTTTTTGGAGAAGAAAGAGAAATAACATGCCACTGTTAAAAAAGTATTCCACAGCAATTAGTGGTAAAAGTAATAATGTTGAGAAGAGAAAACATAAAAACTTGTGTGTTTAATTATATACCAATGACATTGATAGCGGTCTTCCATTAAATAATTCTTATAGTTTTTCGAGATTACCATCTTTATAATGCTATAATATAATATTATATTCACGCTATAAAAACAAAAAAAAACTGTAAGGAGAGCACGTAGATTTGGGTAATTATTCATAAAAGGGCACATAAGCATAAATATTTACTAAATTATTCATTTTTAACACGGTTTTGAGAAATTCAACTAACAATTAAGATGTAATTTTTTTTCTAGTCCAAATTCATCCATTATCAACATTTCAAGCAAGATCAAATATCTCACGCAACAGAAAATTCATCTGGAGACTAGTTTATTCTGTCATGAAATTCAATTTGAAATCAACTTAACCAACCGATATAGGTAAAATTTTATTGTACTTTATCCATGACATAGCTTGAATCCGCTCATGAAGTATGTTTCAAACATCCCCAGAGTCAATAATAGTCTTAGCACCTCTATTTTGCACTGAAGAACATTGATGTAACACTCATACTGGGCCTTCCATCTGGTTCAGCGGAGGCAGAAGAAGGTGTCTCCTGATCTTTGGGTTTGGGAATGTAGCTCGATCATAGTTTACTGATGATCACCACTACTCACTCTGTTGCTCCTGATGCAGTATAAAGCCTCACCTTCTGTCGGTGTCCAATCGGCTGTAGGCAAAAAGTTGAATGTAGAAAAACGGGAATCACATGACTAAAGACTTCTGGTGTTGAGGTTATCCATAAGTACATGAAGTAGAATCAGACATGTTTATTTGAAAATGATTTTGGGTAATATCATTCTATCATATATTATTGTATTAACACACTGTTCGTTTTCATATGATTTTATTTAGTAAAAAAAAAAATTCCACCTCTTGAAGTTATTGTTTGTTTCATTTCGTTCACCAGACCACAACATGAATTGACATTTTTTAAAATTCAGATTGAGAAGAAACAATGTAAATGTCATTAAGCCACTCTCTAGTGCTGATGTGTTTAGCTAATTGTCTTCATTTTTGGATGGGATTCTTTTTCATGAAGTATGGATTCTAGGAATGAAATGACACCTTTGTTGTAGAGAATTTAATTGTTTTGAGAATAATTTTTTTCATAGGTCCAATAAATTAAGACAAAAAGATACTTTGCCATCCCTACTCTACCCACTAATTTTTTTTTGTCTCCAACATAACATAGTAGGATTCTATATTCCTTCGAACTTGTGAATATGTTCAAATTAGAACTATCTAATCCAAATGGGACTAAGAAATCACAAATACTGCTGTCAACACTAAAAATCAAAGAAGCAGAAAAAACATTGTAATCAGTATATCATGGAATAAGAAAATGATCAAGGTTCTGATGGCAGAGAATGCTGGCCTTTGTAGCATCCTCATGCCAAGCAACGCCAGTTCGAATCTGGCCTGGGAAGCGCTGACTTTTATTTCATGGCAGACCTACAGAATACAACTCGACCTTCTCACTCAGGTTAGAATAGATTTGGTTATGCTTCTATAACAACTCTCCCCCCCTCCATCCGTATACCACAAATGGTGGGTAGGGGGTAATCCAATAAAAAAAGGTATAAAAATCAATTTTCTGTTTCTTAGAAAACGAACTTCTAGTTTTTAATAGGGAAGCCACAATTCCTGATATCCACCCCAGCCTGCCACTTTATTGAATTTTGCTTATATCATCAAAAATGTTATTGTAGTTTTCAAGGGAAAAAGTTACCCTCTATGGCGACTTGTAAATTTGCCATCTAGCATAAAGAAAAAAAATATGATACCTTAAATCCAGACAATAATTTTATTAGTTTGGCAATTCATAAAAATTAGGTTTCATTCAATTCAGGATGAATAAGGTTAAAGTTATTCCTTAACAGGATTACTAACAGAACATTAAAATTGTTACAATTTATGTGATCTTACAGCTATTATAAATCATTGGCCATAAATCTTCAACTAATCCATACGATTATTAATCTGATAACATACATGACTTAATCTAAGGTACTAATATAATCATCAAAACAAAAAATTTTCTAGGGAATTAAGGGGTTTTCATTCTTTATTTTAGCCTTAACAGGGAAAAAAGACTGTTATAATATTACAACGAAATGTTTGATAGATTCAGGATTTCATTTAAAATTATAAGTGCGGAAAGAAGAAATGAAAAAAAAAGAAAGAAAAACATTAGAATTTGTTTTGTCAGCCTGAATAAAAAAGTTAAAATCATTTCCAAAACATTTTGCTGCGTACTCAACATTGATTAAAATACTGACAATTAACTGGTCCATGATTTTGGGGAATATACTGAGAGTAGATCACAATATAATTAAAATCATAAATAAAAGCTTGTTCTCAAATTTAAGATTATCTATTACAAACTTGTATATTTTATTTTATTGGCTGTATTAACAACAAAGATATAGAATGTGTAAATTCATAAAGAGCATACTTTAGTCCAGTTAGAGATATAGCATGAAACAAAGTGGGCTAAGCTTTACCAAGCATGGCTGCAAAATTTTAAACACAAAGTCATCTAAGAATAAAAAGTATAAAGAAACTAAAATTATTTATAATACAATTTCTAATAGTTAATAAATAAATATATTGTCAGGAAAATGTAAACAAAATCATTAGATATGATTTATGTTTCTGCTAGGTATCCTTATAATACAAGGTGTAATAGAAATTATACATTGTAATCAAATAACAAAGTATGGGGCAAGTTTCTAAGTTTATAATTTAAGAAAGGAACTTGCCCTTGGTTTATATTTTTTTCATTAAATATAGTTGTAAAATCCCATGTATGTATATATTAAAGAGGACATGAACGACGAGCATGTTGGGGTCCCAGAGTGCCCAGTTCTGAACATTGTGATTTCGATTCCTACCCGGTTCGAACAAGTTTTATTTCTCGGCGGCTCCAGAACATGAATCTTGGCACTCCCACTCTTTTTTTTTTTTTTTTTTTTTTTTTTGTTCTTCCCTACCTCGCCTTTTAGGATTTTCCCGGGCCGGGGGGTGAGGGCGGGGAAATTTAAAATCCCCTCCGGCACCGGGACGCGAACTCGTACTTTTTATTTCATCTCAAACTGTTATCCGGTTGCCAGGCAACTAGCGGTGCTGTTACACACGCTTTAGCCTATTCGGCCACCCCGCCCCCTGGCACTCCCACTCTGGTAAATACGCAGCAGCAACCACAAGGTAGCTGTCAGAGGTTGACAAAAAGGACCGCAAGGCCAACTTACCGGACTAGTTCTCCCCACCAGTACAAGTACCTATCTTAAATCTATATTAATCCCCATTAATGAGTAATATTTAAATATTAACAGAAGATTTTTTTTCTTTATAAAAAGAAGGTAGATTAAATTACTAACTGTAACAGGTTTCAATGAATTTTAACTGAGTTTAATTTATACTTCTTTTTTTTAATGGAACTACTCGAAAAAGCTTCCTATATGATTTCCAAAGCAGCCTAACCAGCCCTCATAATAGTATAAGATTCATAGATTAATGGATCAGAGGAAAGTATTCTTCTTAGAAACCCCATAAGAAAATTGTTCACAACATACTTTATGGAGCTAGTCAATTCATTAATTATTACGTGATTTATTTCATGTAAGAAATTGCAATAAATTCTATTATGGTTGATATTGTATATATCTATCGTAAAACAAGTAGTACATCTTTTTTTTTTTTTACAATATATATTATATAATACAATATATATATATATATATATATATATATATATATATATATATATATATATATTTTCTTTCTTTGATTTACCCTGTAAACATGGTATGAATGATGAATACTTAGAACACTGATACCTACTGCCCTTGAATATGGCAGCTCGTATTATTATTCAATAAAAACAATTAAACCTCAGTAGATTAAATAGTGAGTGAAAAATTTGATGAATTGCTTGTAAAGAGTATGAAAGCAAAGCAATGATATTCAGAAAATTTTAAAAATGATTTTATAAAAACACATTTGACTTTTATTTATCAGAATAGATATATCAAGAATAAACTGTGAAAGAAGTAGGCTCTAACTACAAACAATATCTTTATATTTCAATTTGCTATTCAGAGCAAGTTTGATTTTTTTTTCATGTATAACCTTTTAAAAATTAAAAATGCTACATAGAATTACGGTATACCAATTGTATAAATATGAAACCAGAATTCATCCATAATGGCTCTAATTGTCAATCTAGTTAATGTTAAACGGCATTATTGGCATCAATTTCTTTTTTTGACAGCTGGCAAAGATTTACAACTTACAACAATATAAGTTTCATTCAAGAGCGACGTTTTAATAGAGTAAAATATGTTGTTTTGTGCCTACATTACAAAATTTGTGGACATTAGTTTCCTATAACAATTTAAAGAAAACTGCTACAGGATCACATCCAATGCTTGTCGAAGCATTTAGTGAGTAAGTTCTTGGTAAATCACAGTACTTTGAATAGTTGATAAACTTCAAACGTAACAATTTTGATGTGAGAAATCAAGAACATGGAGGACCTAAAAAAGGGTATAAATTATAACCAAGCTAGTTAAACCTGGAAAACTGTTAATACTGACTGCATGAAATACAACCAGTACATCAAAAAAGATTTCACAAAGTTATTATGTTTCATGATAATCCACACATAGCAAAACCAGTCAAGGAAATGATTGAGGCGCTCAGTTGGGAAATAGCGCATGTGGCTTACCATGAGGCACACACTTGCTCTGCAGCTCTTCAATAAGGGGTGGCCGAATGGGCTAAAGCGTGTGCACAGCACAGGCGGTTGCCTGGCAACCGGATTACAGATTTGAGAAGATTTAAAAAGTACGAGTTCACGTCCCGATACCGGAGGGGATTTTAAATTTCCCGCCCTCACCCCCCGGCCCAGGAAAATCCCATATAGCCTAAAAGGCGAGAGAAAAAAAAAAGTTTTTTTAGCATTCATAAATTGAGAGATGGAAAATATATAGCTAGTGATGAACAGTATTTAAAATAAAATATTATTTAGCATTTTTATGCAACGTGATAAATAAATTGCAATAAACGTGAATTTTCTATAAGAAAATTGTTTCACATTACACATCTATAAAAAACGAACCTCAAGTCTGGTCTCAGCCTGTTGGAGGAGCTGCTTTTGCAAAACGGTATAGTCCCTCAGCATCTGCATTACCCTCCGCCTTTCCTCCATTTCGTGAGCTAACCTATTATTGTAGTCTGTGAGCAGTTCCACTGCAGAATTAACTCTTTCGGCAAGTTTCAATGCTGCTTCTTTGTCTGAAAAATGCATAGTCATTAATATATATTTTCAGGGCTCATATGACTCACTACTCACTTTAAAACTTAATATAGATCGAATAAAAATAAAATATTCTCTATTTTATTAAACCTCAAATAGAATAGATGCAATGAGATACATTAATTTAAATTAAAGCAAGAAAAGATAAATCAATTACAAAGTAGTGCATTATGATCAAATCTTAAAGGGTTTTACATAAAAAATTGGATAAGAAAGAATTAAATAAATTATAAAAACAGCCTTACCCTCCAACTTTGAAAGAAGTTTAACTTCAGATACATCTGGAGGTAGTTTAGAAATTTTTTCTCGTACAGCCACATCCACAGAAGCAGAGTTTTCAAGATCCTAAAAAATAGGAAAAATTCATATATATACAAGAGACATCAACCCAAGAAAAAGAGGATTGGAAAAAAAAATTCAACAAGTTCTATCTTAAGACATAATTATAATAAAACACACTTTTCTGCAAGTTTGTATAATAACTAAACACAAACTATAAAATTACTTTTTGAAATACTAAATAACCTAACATGTACCACTATAACGCATAAAAGGTTTTTGTTTCAGTACTTTGTTAGGAAGTACTGTTTCAAGGCTAACGGTTCTTCAGGGAGATGATCGGACCAAGATCACGCTCAACCGCCAGGTTTTTCTCAATAATTATTTAATTAACAGTACCCATTTTATAGAGGCTGGGTGTGCCCCATGATGGTCTCCAGGCCTGAGTCGATCCATGGCTGATGAAACATTATTTGACATCAGACGGATTCGAACCTAGGACTTGACCTTGGAAGCCCAATGACTAACTGACCGAGCTACTCCGCTCCCCAAATACTAAATAATATAATTAATAATAAGAATATACATTAATTAGGTAAGATTTTATCACAAGGAGACAAAATGAGTCCCAAACTCTTCACATGGGAATGGTTTCAATATAATTATCCAAATAAACATGAAACTGCTCTTCAGAGTCCAGATTTAAATTCTTTTGAACTTTATGGGCTAATGTCGATCTAAAGTTCAAAAATTAAAATATAACATCAGTAAAGTATCCTAAAACTAAATTGTTTGAAGAATGGGAAGAAATGCCCTCCCAATTGACTTCAAAGTAAATCTAATCAATGCCTAAACAGTACTAAAAAACAAAGGACTGTATTCAAAATATTAATTTAAAATTTTGAGTAGAATAAATAAATAAATTACTGTTCAAAATAACTAAATATGAAAACTAGTTACAATAAAATTTTTATTTTAAACTTAAATTTTTATTTATTATTAGGCAAATATTTTTGAGAAAATTGATATAAGTGGTATTGATGTTATATTTAAATACAAAAGAATTGTTTTTATTGATTATTTTTTCTTTCCTGTCAGTCTGTGTATGAAAACTGCAGGCCTTTGTATATTAAACCTCTGAATAGTTAGTGCGCAGTAAGTTAATCTATTAAAATATTGAAAATCAACTAACTAATGATAATGCTTAAGGTAAAAATACAAGATAGTGTCTATATCAGCCAATTTAAATGGGACTAGTGCTGAAACAGATCAACATATTAGATTGTCTAGTATATTTGATAACGACAAGTGTATTCAAAAGTAAATTAGGAAAATTAATCATTATTTACAAAATAATGAAATGCTGTTTTTTAAACATTTAAACTACAAATGAAAGTAATAATGGTGATTACCATTAAAGCTCTGATGAGTTCTTCTGGCTCTGGTGGGTCACCTGCCTGCAAAACTGGTGATAGTCGAACATGAACTTCCTTTTTGCCATCTATTTCAACTTCTGAGATCTTTCTTTCAGGTTTAGGAGATTTTGGTTGTACTTTTACTTTCTTTGCTGGAGGTGCAGTTTCTTCCACAATGTCATTTTCTGAGATAAAAGTGGCATATCTCAAATCAAATCACCAAAACCATATTTGGTTCTACTATACAAGTGTCACATCTGCTTGAAAGTTGTATAAACATCACATCCAATTACAGAAAATTTTAAAAGTAGCCAAGTGTTGACAACTTTGTTCATAATTGGGCGGGACACTCTAAAAGGATAAACATACCATGAATGGATCCTATTCAGTTGAAGTCCGGGACCTTATCACGCAGTGGCCCTTGTCGGTGGAGATGGATCACTTTCTATTTATCATCACTCTCTATAATTTATTTCTAAGACTTAGAGATTAATCAACACAATATACTTTCAAAATTTTTTGAACAATGTGTTCAAAATGATATTCACCAACCGTTCAAGTAGATTTGACACTAGTAAACTAGGACCCAATATTTAATAGCTACATAATAAAGACAAATAAATGATCTCAACATCTATAACACATCATAATACAACGTAGAACTACGAAAGGGGTATAGAACAATAAAGTGAATATAACTAATACTGATCAATATAAAAATAAACACTACTATTTATGTTAACTAACCTTTCTTATGATAGATTTTCTTATATTCTTCAACAAGTTTTTTATCATATACGTTTCTTTCTTCCCATATTTGCAAAATTCTTTCTAGTTTACTCACTGTTTTTTCACTACATTTCATGTTGCCTAATAGCCTAAAAGCTTTTTTTAAAGCAGGAGCAAATTCTTTGGTGTATTCTGGACCTTTTTTCTTGCTATTTTGAATAACATCGTTTGCCAAATACATAAGAGTGAGCTTCTGAAGTTCATTTCCTGAAAATCCCATTGAGACACAAAATTAATTTCTTCATTCACATTCCAAACAAAAACAAATAGTAAGAACCTGGAGGAATGTAACCTCACTCAGGCTTACCTTTACTCATTTCCCTGAACCAGGTCTTCACAATAAGCTGGAAATGCTTCCGGTGATGAATGAGCCAGAGGGAAAGAGTTTGTATGCTTTGCTGGGACTCGTTCAAGTCTTCCAGTTTCTTCTGGAGGGCTGTCTCTGTAAACCCAGCCATAGTACATAATGACGACAATCAAACACAACTAGCCTCTAATCGGCCTCAACTAGCCCTACACACCTGGTAAGGGGAGGGGAATCTCGGCCCTTTTGATCTACACATTTGTATTTTATTTGCCATCTGCCGTTTCTTCATATTTCATATGTAATAATTTAATTAGTATTAACAATGACACGAAATTAGAGAAAATTCATAGTTTGGTGAAATATTGTGTTTCAAAATTTCTATTCTAAAATCAAAATTTAATTTCTGCGCAGCTCAAAAACCTACATTTGCCTGGTATCCATTTTCTGCTCTTGCTTATAATTTTAATTAATCTCATTGGTAAAATACGAGCTTAGTAAACAAATTTGAATTTTAGCCGTCTAATTTTTTTTTTAAGTCATTGGCTCGGCAGTTAACGAAGGGGCTGCGTTTAACTTTAATTTTTTTTCTTAACATGGCAGCTCAAATGGAAATGGATGAACAAACTATGAGGGAATTTCAGAGTTTAAGAGAGTGCGAGGCTTATGTTCAAAAACATAATATTCAGGGAGTTTTAAAAAACTGCATTGTACAGTTATGTGTTGTTCGGCCAGAAAACCCCATTTCCTTCCTCAGGGAATATTTTCAGAAATTGGAGAGGGTAAGTCATTCATGTATTTATGTTTCATATCTGTTATCATTCTATTATCACTTTATATCATTTTTTGTCAAATTTATACTTTGTCTCAATTGACCATCATAACCTTGATGAAATAAATATATGTTTGAAAAATGACCAGTAACTGCAATATTTTGTTATAAATTTATTTTATTAGGAAATATTGGCTTAGAAATATTATTTAGGTTGGAGATTAAATAAATAATGGAATATGTTAACTAAGAAACTACTCAGTTTTGCTTGACCCAATTGTCATCATCAAACTGTCAAAATTTGATCTGCCAAAGTTTTATGTAATTACTAATCAGGTTATTTATGATCAGTTTTTAATGAAGCTGGTATGAAAAGAAATAGTTTTTGATATCTCAGTTGACATGAACTGTCAAACATAGATCCCCAGACTATTTTTTGATTTGTTGTTTCTGCTAATGAAGAGCATAATAAACATTCTCAGCACTAATTCATGAAATGCCTTAACACTATTTTCATTATTAATTGATATATTTAAAATTTAAATTAATGTTTTAAAAATAATAATAAAAACAATAATGGTACTGTAATACCACTAACAATATTTGTATTTTGTCCAAAATAATATTTTTATAATAGTTGATTGTTATCAGTTGAATAAATAACAAATTAAATGGATTGAGCACTGTTGTGCTCATACAGAACACAATGATAGGTATTGTCTCTTAAAATATAGCATGTTGAAAGTCTAACGACTCGCAGTGTTTGCATCGTACATGTAATTTCCTTGATTAGCTCTAACACATTTAATTTTTTTTAATTCAATAATACTTTTTGTTATTATTACTGATAACTGATATCTATTTTGTGGTATCGATTTTTTTTTTTTTTTCTATTTTCTATAATCTTTGAAATGAGATAAAAATGAAATTTAAAGAAGAAATAGTTGAAAAAATTAATTTATGAATGTAAAAAAAGGTGTCATGTGACTGTTATTACTTCTTTATAATTTCTTTACATTTACAGGAGTAGAAATGCATTGAAATTATTCTTTCAAAATTTTTAATTTGAATCGAAGTTAATTTATATCTATACTGTTCAAAATAAATGTTAGGAAAATTTAGTTAATATTCATTATTAATACATTTTTCCAGATTTTTTAAAAATTCCACTTACTATAAAAATTATAGTTCTCTACTCCATAAATTTAAGGTGTTTTTTCAGTTCAACAAAAACTGAATTGTTAACATCCAATTTTCTATTTAGCAAGTTTTGATGTTTTTTTAAATATAGAGTTTGTATTATATACATATATTAATTTGTTATGATTTGCTTTCCCTAATGGTTTGTTTATTTACAAATTGATGTTGGTATGTAGGTATAAGAAGTTGCAACGTAGCCAACCGATCATGATATAACTGCCCTCGCTCAATATATTTGCTAGAAGTCTGCTAGTTTTGAACTTCTTTTATTATATATATATATATATATATATATATATATATATATATATATATATTTCTTTTCAAAATTATTTTAAAAATTCTAAAGACTTAATTTTTAGATAATCATAGTTTGTTTTAAGAATGGTACAATCTGTAGTCATATTCATAATTTTAGACAACCTCCCTGACAGAAAACAATTTGTGATGTAATGGTTAAATTTTGTCTTACCAAAATTACATTATATTTAAATTTTATTCATTTAAGATTTTCATCTTTGACAGGAAGTTGTTGATTCTTTAATTTCAATGAGAACTGTATTTGATAAAATGTTCTTAATTTTCCCAGAGATGTCTATAAAGTTGGAGTCTTAAAATCGATCTAGCATAGAAAGTTAAAGCACCCGTGACTAAATTCATATCTATATTTATAAGCTGAACATAAATAAATTTAAAACAGGGTTACAATTGCTCTATAAGTAGTAAATACCAACAATAAATTTAGTTTAGTATTGGGTTTAAGAAGATTCAGATAAGCTCCCCATTAACCATTCAGTAATTGGATTTTTAATTAAATCTATTATAGTTATTTATGATTTAATATTTTCTCTAGTTATATAAGCAATCAACAAGAATATGAACTTTAAATAATTTCTTTTCTTATTTTTAATAGTTGATAACATTAACTAAAGAATTTATTAGGAACCATCATGATGGATTATTATTTACATACTTTAGTGCAGAGGTCTCCAATCCAGACCTTGGAGAATTTCTCCAATCTTTCCGGCCAAATTCCAAATTCTTCCGTCCCCGCAAGAATTTCTTTGATCACATGGTAAAATTTTAAAAATATTAAATCACATAAACAGGAGGTCACTACAACATATATTGCATGAGTTGTTTCTCTTAAAATGCTATTTTATAAATGACGTATCATCGATAGAACAATATTTTTTTTCACATTCGCGGGACTTGGTGAAGGATTTAGTGCGACCCACCGGTCAAAAGGTTTAGAGACTCCTGTTTTAGTGAATTTAAACATTTAATTATCATGTATCACAGATCTGTACATAAATACAGCAAATAGATTTTGGAACAAACATAAAGTAGAATGAAACTTACCTAAAATTTGCTTTTGAAGTTCGCGTGGAATTACATTAGCAATATTCCTGAAATATCACAAAGATACAATTATCTTACATTATCTTACAAGAGACCCACTTCGTCAGTCTGACATCAGTGTAAAACTGTGAAATAGTCAATCCCATAAGTTGTTAAGAGACAAAACAGAAAAAATGGTATTCGGAAGCGATTTACTGTTGAGTAGAAAACATTATCATTTAATTACTTTCTATAAAGTTGAGTAATAAAACATTCTCGATTAAAAATGTTAATTGCTTAGGTAGTTCACATTCAGACAGATTATTTGTGTTACATTATTTTAACTCATTAAAAATATCCTGTTTTTAATTATAATAATAACTGATTATTTTGTATTTTATTTACTCTTGATTGTATCCTATTATGTTTAAGTAATAAGTTGAAAACAAGAGAAACCTACATATAAAATCCTAAGAGCAAAAATAATGACTGCATATTTGGACATCAATTAATAATTAAAATACATGTAATGGTGATTATGGAAGCTAATTTTTTTTTTTTTTTAATTTGTTTATTTAGACATACAATGTTCTGTCACAGGGACAATAATTATATTGATAAATGAGCACATTCACACCGTATATACAAAAAAAAAAAAAAATTAACAAAGTAAAACAATAACTAAATAATAATAAATAAAAACTATATACAATAAAAAAAACCTAAATATAAGTAAATTAAAAACATAAAAATACAATCATACCTATATACAATCAGGCGGGGAACCCAAATCCCTCCTCTAGTCTCTCAACCTCCTCACCGGTGCTAAAGCCGCTAGCTATGGAAGCTAATATGATGAGAATTTTAAGCTATTTTAATTTCCTGGCCATGGACGTTGCTAAAGCTTTTTACAGTATTTGTTTGGCAGAGGTGCTCAGAAAGGAGTCACGTGGTGCAGGTTGCACCATCCAAATTTTTGAGGATGCACATTTTTAAGTATGAATTTGTTATAGAGGAGGACACAATTTGATGGTGTTGTGAATTTTTGGAGAACACCACATTATTGTGTAGTTTCAATTTGGAGGAACTTTCATAACTGAGAACAAGTGGAAAACATGGGACAGACCACAGAAACTGTGAACGTATAGAGTATACAATTTTTTTTTAAGAGAAAGAAATTATTTTGTTATCCTTAGTCCATTACAACTGTTTATACCAAAACATGTATAAAATACAACTGGCTTTTTTTTTTTTTCTGTTGATCTTTGTTAAAAATGGTCTAATTGGATTATTATTTTTTTTCTCGTTTTGTGGAGAATTCAGAAAGCTTTCAAAGTCTACGTACTATGTATATAGCACCATTGATTGTATATTTTTTTATTTATAGGCAGATAAAAGTTCTCCTTCTTTGTACATTTTTCTCCTGTTTTTTCTGGCTAATATTCGTATTTTTTCCAGCTGAAGCAGAAGATAATCTCTCAAAATGATGGCCCAATCGTTTGAGTTAATAGAGATATGGCTTACAAAAAAAAAAAAAAAACTTTGAGGAATAATATATTAATTTGTAACCAAGCTCTTCAATCCATTAATGGATCTTGGCTGTCTCAAGCATTGCCCACCACTTCTCTCTGGCATCCACCACTTCTTGTTTCCTAAAATTCTGGCATCGGCACTAAATCCATCTGCTTTTCTCAGTTTCGGTCTTCCCACTTTTTCTAACAGGTTGCAAGCTGAGCAGCCTCTTTGGAATTGAAGTCTCATTTTTACAGGTAGAGTTTGTATAGAAGCTTAGTTGATCGAACTATTAAAGGGCTTTTCATTTACTTTCATTATAGCCTTTTGTTACATCAGTTTGCGACGAGTCTTTGCTCCACTTTCTGGTTCATGTCATTACCCGCAGTCACTACCGATCCTAAATATTTGCACTTTTTCGAAGTTGCATCTACGAACTTGGATAGTTGGACCAGTTTGACGGCTGTCAGTTGTCATGTACTTTTCTTCGTTGACCTCTAGTTCCATCTTCACTGTTGCGGCCTCTAGCGAGCTGTAAGCGTCTATCGTAGCTGTCAAAGATCTCTCAATAATTGATATAATCGGCGTAAGCTAGTGTTTAAATGCTTTTTGTATATAAGATGTATGTTTTTTGTAATTAACTGATTACTAAGCTATTAGATACGATATTAGTCATGTTAGATATTAAAGAGTTGGGTCAGTTTTTTATTTTATACATTCAGAAAATATTACATATATTAATAAGACCTAGTTACAATTTTAGCGCCTAACACATAAACAACTTTGAGCCAATTTTTTGTTTTATAAATCGAGACCACTAAATGCTCTGACTATTTTACTTTTTTTTTTTAAATCAACTAACTTTTCTGAAGTTAAGCGCAAGAACTTTTAGCCATTCTGTTTGTTTTATGGGTTTGGAAGCTAAGCAGATCGAGGCTTGGTGGATAGATAGAGGAA